GGCTTGTGTTGCTGGTGGTGTTCCTGTGTTCTGGGGGTGTGGTTGTTGTTGCTGCTGGCTTGGTGGTTGCTGATGGCCCGAACTGGACGCCCCCCCTTGTTGGTAGTTGGGTTGCGGTGCGTCTGGCCCCCGCTGGTCGCCCCGCCTGGGTTTCATCGGGAGGGGCGTGATTCTGGATGTGCGGTAGATGTCCGGGTCCACCCTTGCTAGTTGCCCTTGCTGCAGTGGGACGTGCTCCTTTGGTTGTTCCCCCGGCTCGGTCTCTTCTTCCTCCTCCGCGGTTGCAACCCCCGTGACTGCCATAACCCACACGTCCTCCCCCTTCACCTTCCTGAGCTGTCCTTGGGTACCTCTGGCTATGGGCCGTGGTTGGTCCTCCCCCTGCGGAGTATTCCTCCCTAACTGCCTCACTCTTTGGCCCCCTGGTACATGCTTCCATTGGTCCGCAACCTCAAAAGCCCAGAGGTATTCACCTCTTTTCCCCGGCCAGAAGATGATTTGGTTGTTCTTGCTGATGGGCAGCAGCGGGGGCCCGTCCTGTGACCATTCCCAGCCTTCGTCCCCTCTGTTCCCCCCCCCCGTGGTGGTGGGTTGCCGTGGTGCGTTGCTTGTGTCCCCCGGGGGATTGGCCTGGTTCGGGCCCGGGTGACCCTGTGCACACGGTTCGTCCTCCTCGTCCTCGTCGTCTTCGTCATCATCGTCATCGTCATCATCGTCGCTGCTCCAGTGGGTTTCGGACGAGTCACTCGTCCCCTGGGGTTGGTCGGTGCGTGGATCTCGTTCTCGGTCGCCATGGCCAGTGTCACGATCTTGTAGTTCACGACGTTCTCGGTCGCTGGTCGGCTGGTTCTGCTGCGGGTGCTGGTCCCTTGGTCGTTTGTGTCTGTTGAGGAGCTCGGCCCAGTCTTCCTGCGGTGTGTGCCCCCCCTGGGTTGGTTGCCCCCCTCCTTCGCTGCTGGCTTTGCCCCCCCGCTTTCGTGCTTGCTGTTTTCTTTCCCACGCCCTCCTGGCCTTGCGCTCGCGGTTGCGCATCCTCTGCTCCCCCCGCCCCTCGTGCCGGTTCCTTGCCCTCCTCGCCATCGCCTCAAACGTCTCCCCCTCCCGCATGTACCAGTGTGCCGGTCCGTCTTGGCTTTGCTCCTGGTGGCTGCCTCCTTCCCCTTCGCCTTCGGTTGCCGCGTGGTGTTGGTGTGGCTCTTCGTCGTCGGTGTGCTCGGCCGGCGGTTGTGGAGGCTTCGGCTTGGTGGCTGGTGTGCCCCCGCATGTGGTGTGGTGGGTCGGCCTTTCTCCCTGGCGTGGTGGTGGTGCTTTGACTGGCGGGTCACTGCTTCTGTGTTGTCTCGGCCCTTGGGTCGGTGTGTCGTGGTGGCGCGGCTGCTGCGGCGGTTGGGGAATGGGCTTTGCGGGCGGCGGCTGGTCGTGGTGGTGTTGGAGGTGTTGTGGCGGCTGTGCTTCATGGGGCTTCGGTTGGTGTGGTTTTGGTGGTTGGTGTGTCTGTTGCCGCTGTTGCGGTTGGGTGGGGCGTGGTTGTTGCTGGTGTGGCTGCTGCTGAGGATCGCGCCCGGTCGTTTGTGCAGACGTCGGCTGCTCGCATTGTCGCTGCTGCTGTGGTTGCTGCTGGGTGTTCGGTCGCTGTTGGTGTGGTGGTGTTTGCCGCTGCTGTGGTGGTGGTTGCACCGGGGGTGACTCCTGGTGGGGTGGTGGCTGTGCCTGCTGCGTTGGTTGGTGCGTCGATCGTGGTTGTGGTGGTATCGGCTGTGCAGCGGGTTGCTGTGACGTGTGGTGCGCCTCTGGTCGTTGTGGTGGTTCCGTGCCCCCTTCGTGGCAGTGTGCCAGGTGTGGGGGGGGGTGTTGTGGGGGTTGTTTTTGCGCCGGTTGTTGCTTGGCTTGCTTTGGGTTCGGGTGGCTCGGTGGGGTTTCAGTTGGCGTGCTTTGGCTTGGTGGATCGTCTTGGGGTTGCTGTGGAGTGTCTGCGCACTGGGCTATGCTGGCTAGTATGCGGGTGACCAGCTGTCCCCCTTTGTCTGCTGTTGGGGGAATGGGGATGGTGACCGTGAGGCGGTCGCTCTGGACTCCGATGGTGGGGATTTGGGTTGTTGGGAGGAAAATGTGCCCCCCGGTCGGTCTGGGAATGTCGGCTTGTGGCCCCCCTGGCTCGGTAGGTTGGCTGTGCGGTGGTGTGGGGGGATGCCCTCTCTGCGTGGGCGTGCAGTGTCCCCACTGGTCGTCGTGCCATGGGTCCGTGTCGGGGTCGTACGGTGCAGGGATTCGGATCGCCCATCTGTTGGGGTGGTGTGCTGGTGCGCTGGGTTGAGGGGGTGGCTGCTGCGTGTCGGGCGAGGGGTAGTATTCTTCCCAGGGGGTTGGGATCTGGTCGGGGGCGTGGTGTTGCAGGGTGAGCTGCCCCGTTGGCGTGGTGGGTCTGCTCAGGTGCTGGTTGGGTGGCCGCCCCCTCGGGAGGGGGTCTTGGTGTGGTGCATCAGCAGGGAGCCCCTCTGTGGGGTTGGTGGGCCACTGGATGTGGATGTGGGTGGCCCCTTGATGGTGGGCCTGGTCGTCTTCGAGGTTGCCATTCTCGGTGTCCCTGCCAGTGTCACGATCTTGTAGTTCACGATGTCCTCGGTGGCTGGTCGGTTGGTCGTTCTCGTCCCCCTGGTTTGGGTCGGCTGGTGGGTGGGTCGCCTGTGTCCCCCCATCTGCTGGCTCTGGTTGGTTGCTGGGTGGCTCGTAGCCCCCCTCGGCCGGCTCGTGGTTGCCCCATTCCCCAGCGGGATCGGCGTGTGGGGGTTTGCCCCCTGCCGTGGCGCGAGCTAGCTGTGGCGATTGTCCCCACAGCTGGCCCAGGCTGAGCCCCGCCACTATTGCCCCTATCACTCGGAGCATAGCTGCGTCGGCGCGGGGGTTGTGTCTTGTTGTTGCTTCTGAGAGCACTCACGGCTGCAGTTCACTCGCTATCATCCAGCGCACATGCCCTTGCAGCTTGCCATGCAGACATGCATGCGTGTGTTTAGGGTTTTGGGGGTCTTCTTCTGTCTGTCTTCTGTGACGCGTGGTGGGGTGTCGGTGTGCGCGTGCGTGCCGGTGCAGTGTCTCCCCGGTGGTGGTGTGGTGGTGGTGGCGGTGGTGTTGGTGGCAGTGGGGCTGTGGTCCACGGAAGTGCTGGTGGTGTTCGTGGTGGTGGTGGTTGCGGTGTCGGTGGTGGTGGTGTTGGTGATGGTGGTGGTGGTGGTGGTGGCGATGGTGGGGGTGCTCGCGTGTGATTCTGCTGGCTTCCCCTATCCGTTGCGGTGCGCAACATCATCCGTGATTGCCAGGTTCCCCCTTTTTCGCCCCCCCCCCGTGTTTCGTGTGGTTTTGTTGGGTGCGAGGTTGCCAAGCGCCTTTTGCCTTCCGCTACTCCACGGCGGGTCATGCCTCGTCACGAACTCCTCGGTTTGGGCGTGCCACCAAAGACGATCTTGAGCTCGAATGTCCCAGTCTTGTCCCCCGACGGTTGCCACGGCTCGCTCAATGTCCGTGTGTGGGTTGAAGCGACTCGGATGTCGCAGCCCCCTGGGGTTGGCTTGTTCAGCCTTCCACCATTTTTGCCCCCGCCACAGGAGGATCTCTTTGGTGCAGCTCTCATGTTGTCTGGCGACATGTCCCCATAGCCCCCATATGCGACGCAGTCTTCTCCCTCTCTCTCTCTCTCTCTCTCTATCTCTGTCTCTTTCTTGGGACATGAGGGCGCGGGGCCCTCGCAGTTCGCACCCCCGCATTGTTCTTCTGCTTCTTCTTCTTCTTCTTCTTCTCTTCTTCTTCTTCTTGTTCTGGACCTGGAGGGCCCCCTTAGTAAAGGAACCCATCGAGTGCACTGCGCGCCCTGGTCCAGCTGTCCGTAAAACTTTTTCTCTCCGTCTCGCTGTCGCTCCCTCTCTCTCTCTCTCTCTGTCTCGGTGTCTGTGTCTCTGTCTGTGTGTGTGTGTGTGCGCGCGCGCGTGCGTGCGTGCGTGTGCGTGCGTGCTTTCTTTCTGCTGTAGCTCTGAAAAGCCAGACCTGGTGCATGGCTGAACCTCGCAAGCGTTGAGCGCATGCACCAACGGGACCATGAGAGGCTGTGAGGGTCAGTGTATATCATGGCTATTGGGTGCGAGGGGGTTGTTCTACAGCCCTATATATATATATATAAATATACACATAAATAAATGTATATGTAAATATATCTCTACACATATATATATATATAATATGTGTATATCTCACTCCGCAAACCCTAAACCCTAAACCTCACCCCTTGCTCCTTCAAGTCTTCGTGAGGCGCCATCTTGTCCATTTGCAACAACGCATCCAGCCGAACTGTGTACATTGGAAAGAATAAGGGCGACGTGTCACCGGCGGTGCCTGCTGGTCGTGAAATGACTCAGTTGCTCTTAGATACTACTGCCGAACTCGCATGCACACCGACGAAACTGCTAAGCATGTCTTAACGCAAAGAAGCGGCCTTCACCGCAAGCATTTTCTTGCAAGGACTTCGCGTACAGCCTTAAGGGTGTGCTTGAGCTGCCCGAAAATCCTCCAAAACAGGCCGCCATCTGTGCATGGAGAGCGCTAGTGCGAGTCGGCAAAAATCGGAACACCCTCAGTAATCGCCCCGTGAGGGTCTGCTTGCGCTGTGGAGTCCTGCTGCTGTTGCTCTGCCAGGATGGGCTCCTAGGACCCTATGAAGGGCCTTTTAAGGGATTATAGGGTATGATAGCCCACCCTGGTGTGTTGATCCGAACCGCCCCAGCTTAAGAAGAATCGGGGCGCGCCAAAATCTAATTCGCGTGGCCGTCACGTTCGAGCCAAGAAACATGGCCCAGGTTGGACAGCACAAAATTCTCATACCATATATATATATATATATACGTATATATGTATGCATGCTACAGGATGTGTATATGTGTTGGGTGGGAGTCCGTGGGAGGGGGACCAATATTTTCAACACAAACTTAGACCTGCCGTGATCTCCAGGGGGAGGCCTCAACGTCATCAGCCTCGCTGTCTGACAAGTCGTACTGTTGCCATGGCGCACCAGCTTCCGTCATGAGCTTGCCTGCGTCAGGGCTCCCCACGGCCAGGTTTCGGCTCGCGCCGACATCCGGCAGAGACACCACGCAAGCTATGCACGTTACAAACACATCACCGGTGATGCAAATCACATGAATAGGGCCGCCTGCTTCGGGTTCCTACGGCCTATCAACAGGTAGCACAGACACGTCCTGCCACACCAAGCCCAAGTTCTGCAGCTTATGGGCCATGAGCCCTCACGTTCTAAACTCTGCGGCAGGACGCTGCAGGCATGAATGTAATATATGGATGCCTGCGGCGCTGTTCGGGACCTCCTAGGTCTTGAGCATTGAAGTACAGCCCTGGTCCCTTACACAGCAACTAGATCGAATCCGGCTGAGGTGCTGTTCAGAAATGATTGCACACCACTGAGGCTCCGATTGGTGGTGAGCGTAACCCGTGCCGCCAGAGTGTAGGCAGACGTGTCCTGGAATGAAACTTCAAAACATCCTTAAATTGGAGAACTTATGGACCCGAAGGAGATATTCTTTCAGGCTGGAGGAGCTTTCAACCGTACACCTTACAACTTTTGAATTTCCTTTCTGATTCATAGCCCCTTCCCCTCTTGGGCGTCCATCGAACCATGCACCGGCAAACCAAACAGCACAGCATGAGATCTCTCCAAACATCCTCCTGCTACAAAACCAAAGCAAGCCGAGGGCGCGTACAGCGATACAAAGGGGGAGTTTCGCGATGAGCACAGGAGCAACTCCCCGCTGCGTGCGTAGGCAATGGCGTTGAAGTTCTGGTTCAGGTTGACACCGTCGGCAGGGCGCCCTTGGGCTTGGGGGTTTGGGTTTAGGATTTAGGTGGCGGGTTTGAGGGGGTCCTGGGTTTCTCTGGCTGTGAGTTCAGGGTTTCAGACCTTTTGTGTGTTTGACACCTGCCTAGCTGGCACCCACGACGACTTGCAGGGCACATACCCTCCTTCCCCTCTTTTTTAGAAATGGGCTTGTGTCGCAAGTTTAAAGCTGAGGTTTGGGGTTCGACTCGAACACACACAGCAGAAGCGGGCGAGGCAACTGGTTCCAGGGCCCACCCATGAAATCGCAGCCTCCTTCTTCCAGGCCCACCTGAAAAACCCTCTGCCCCCTACTAAACCCGAAACCCTAAACCCTAAAGCCTCTGCCCACGGTTCCCGCGCTGAGGAGTGCTTTTAGGGGTGGCGAGGGTCAACAAACTCGGGGACCAAATACACCCTAAAATTGGGGACATGTACCCTGACTACTGCAATTCCTACTAAGGTCATGTGAACGATGAACCCTTTTCAGGGCTCATTTGGGTCGTCAAGGAAATAGCCAGGTACTTCAATACTGCGACGAAGGCCTTGCTAGGTAGCGATACTTTGCCAGCCTCACGCAGCCCTGATCAGGATTTCGAGCTTGAGAATAAGCATGTAGGGTTTGTAGTCACCCTAAACCCTAAACCCCAAACCCTATACACCCTAAACCCTAAACCTAAGCGCCAAACCCGCAATGTTTCAGTACTCTTGGCTTAGAAGCCGAGGATCGCTTTTTCATGCCAGCACCCGGCTTCAGGCCGCGCTCGTTCACAGCAGAGAACATGTCCTGAACTGTGTTTTTTGTGTTTGCCAAGAGGGGTAGGTTTGGGGGCCCCGAAAACGTTGAACCTTTATGGCTTCATGAGAAAAATAAAGGGGATTAAGGAAAAAATATTTCAAAAATATGTTCACACGGACCCCTGTTTAGACCGGTCCGCAAGGCAGCTTTATCTCACTTTCGCCTCTCCGGCTTCTAGGGCTGGTAGGTTTACGGTGTTCACAGATTCGTTCTCAAACATATGATATATATATATATATATATATTTCTGGATGCATAAATAAATATAAACAAATAAACAAGTATGTATATATACATGCGTGTGTGTATACAGAGAACGTCCTCTCTCTCCCTCTATATATATATATACATGTACGGGCGGGCAGAATTTCGTAAACAGATGCAATTATACGGAGCAAGGGCCTGCCAATGCCGGGCGCTCTGGATGTCGCGTAGGCCGTCAATGGATCCAATGTTTTGAGCCGTCACCACATTCCAGAATAAGACTTGCCCTGAGAGGCAGGCTGCAGCACAAAGATCATTCCTGGGCGCCGACTCGCCCAAAATAGGAGCTAGACTGCCCCATTGAAACAAGCACAAAGAAACAAACACACTTCGCCCTCGCATGCTGCCAAAGTCAAAGCTCCTAAGTGCTGGTGCTATAGACCCAGGCTCCCTCGCGGATCGAAGCTAACCGCCACGACGCTGGAGGAACACTGCAGGGCTTCTGCGGACCCACCTTTGGTGCCGGCGTACAGGTCCCACACATTCAGCGTTCCGTCCCAGCTTGCGCTGAGCAGTTGTCCGGGGTGGCCGGCGGAGGGGGAGAAGTGCAGGGCCTCTACGTGCGACGTGTGACCAGTGAGGACTTCGAGGACATTCCCGGTCTGGATGGACCACACATACACGGCGTACTTGCCTCCGGTGGCGCTCGCGGCCACAATTTCGCCACCGGAGTCCACAGCCACGCTGGAGAACTGACAGAGACCATCCGGGCTGGCAAATGTGCGGAAATTGCGGTATCGAAGGAGATCGAAAGCCCGAACGGAGCCATCGCGGCTCGCGCTTAGCACCGCATTCCCCTGGGGGGTGAAACAGATGGCGTTGACTGGTGCTGTGTGTTCTGCAAAGGTTACGAAACAAAGCCCACTCTGCGCGTTGAACAGCTTGACCTTGCCATCGTAGCCGCCCGTAGCAAGCAGCCGGCCGCCGATGGCGCTGCTCCGGTCCTCCGGCCGGGCGTCGGCTGAGGCCAAGGCCTTGCCACGCTTCATGGACACGGAGCCCGGGGAGAAGGCTACGCAGCGGACGCCGTAGTGGTGCCCCTGCTGCTTCAGCACATAGGTCTCCGAGCGCCACTCCCAGACCAGCAGCTGTCCCGTGCCAGCGCTGCCCACCGCCAGCCAGTCCCCATTGGCGCCCAAGGCCACCGCGTCCAGGGGCTCCTGGCCCAGGCTCAGGGTCTGCAGCGCCTGCAGCGCAGGCATCTCGAAGAGCATCAGCACGCCCGCGCTGAAGCCCACAGCCAGGAGCTGGGCTTTGCCGTCAAAGGCACATCGCATGACCTTGTTGTGTATGGGCTGCTGGCATGTGGCCTTGGCTTCCACGGCCCAGGTGCCAGGCTGGCAGTACCTTGGGGACCAAATCAACCCTGAAATTGGGGTCATATACCCTATGCTACTATAATTAGTATTAGGGTGGTGAACCATAAACCCTTTTAGGGCTCATCTAGTCCCGAAGGTGCAAGAGCTTCCCACGGTGCTCCTCATCCTTGGGGTTGCCCTCCTTGAGCGTGTACTTGGCTGAGACCTCATGTGCTCACGACATGGGGTGAAGAAGCCCCCTCTTTGGCACGAATATGCAGCCAAGAGACCAGCATACCCTCACGCGACCTCAGAAGCATATCCCGGTGAACAAGAACATTCTACCCAACTCGATGCTTCAAGGGCCGGGGGGAACGTCTGCCCTTTTTTTCCCAGGGTTCTTGTGCTGGAACTTACACTGAGTTACGATCGTATGATCATGTGTGTAGCATAACCTGTACTTCTTGCAGCAACCTGTTTTCGAGGGTCTCTACCCAAAACAAATGCCACCCACAAGCTAGGAACTCGGGACACGACTTTATGACTCTCTCCTGATTCAGGGGGATGGACTCGTAGCCAGGCGACATGCTGAACAGATACTGCATGTCGTTGGAGAAGAAGGCGGCTCGGACCTTCGATTTGTTTCAAAGGGAAGGGGGGTGACATGCTCTAAGCAAGCACAGCAGTGTACCGTATCTAGGATAGGTAGATAAGACAGTCGCCTTAGGCAACTTACAAGGCCCTTTTGTGGGAATCGTGGCTAACCTACCAGGAACCACATGTAGCTGCTCTCGGACCCTAGGACCCCAGAGTTCCTCCCCTGTTCAGCTGTGCAGCTGGGCTCCGGTGTTCCTTAGCTTTGCGGGGGGGGGGGGGGGAGAAAAGAGTCAGCCTGGAAACCCCTAATCCCTATAAACTAGGCTTTTGGCTGAAGCTCCATGGCCTTGTTGCATAGAAACCCGATCCTTGCCAAGCATTCTCCCGGCCCTGACACCGTCAGGGAGGCGTTAGGGTCCCTGGTTTGGGGTTTAGGGTTTAGGGTTTGGGCTGCATAGGGTGGTAGGTGCTTGCTAAAGGCTTACCAGCTGGGGCATTTGGGAGTTTGGGGAGAAGGCTTTCGAGTTTTCCGCCTTCGGGTTCTGAATTAGGGCCCTTAGCTTTCTGTTTTTGATCCTTTGTGACAAGGCCGGACATCAGCTAAATGCACGCGTAGGAAGTACTGGTGCAGCACGACGCCCAAAGCCTGTTAGTCTTCCAGAATCGCACAAACTAAAAAAGGGCCAGGTCCATAAGTCATCTGCACATGAGACCCCCACTCGACATCCTCATCGGCAACCGCTGTCCCCCCCCCACCTCCTTCCAAAGCCGCCAGAATGCCAACCACTGCTCTGCAAAGTGAAGCCCTTTGTTCGGTCAAAACAAACCCTAAGCACCCAATCGTATCAAACCCCTTGGGCCAAAGGGGCCATCAGCTCCAAACCGCCCTAAACCCTAACCCTAAGCCCTAAACCCTAAACCCTAAACCCCAAACCCTTTTGAACCGGGACCTCCCTGAAGCACCTGCACCCCTTCAAGGCTAAGCCTCTTGAGGGCCCAAAGGCGCTAAACCCTAAACCCTAAACCCTAAACCCTAAACCCTAAACCCTAAACTCTGAACCCCTAAACCCTAAACCCTGAACCCTCCACCCGCCCCCCCGCCCTCCATGGCCATGGGGCCAGTAGCGCCATGGGCTGGAAGCCTTCGTGGCGGCGAGCGGCCCAGAGTCGAACTGTGCCATCCTGCATTTGATGGGGCTTAGGGTTTAGGGTTTGGGGTTTAGGGTTTGAGGTTTAGGGTTTAGGGTTTGGGGTTTAGGGTTTGAGGTTAGGGCTTAATTAGGGTTTAGGGTTTTGGGTTTAGGGTTTCAGCTTTGGGTTTAGGGTTTAGGGATTAGGGTTTACGGAATAGGGTTTCGGCTTTAGGTCGAAGGGGCCCTCTTTGCCGCCCGCGGATGCTTCGGTGTTTTTGATTTTTCCCCGCCCGTCTGGCATGCAGGCACCCAAGACCAGGTCAACGGCTCATGGCCCGAAGGGGGTGCGACCCTAAACCCTAAACCCTACAAACCCTAAACCCTATAAACCCTAAACCCTATAAACCCTAAACCCTATAAACCCTAAACCCTATAAACCCTAAACCCGAAATTTGATCAACTTCTGGGGGGGAGGGGGGCGTTTTGCGACCTCGAAGTGCTGGGCCTCGCAAGCGCCCTCCCCCCCCTCCCATGCGGGGCTCAGGGCTGAGGAGTTGGGATTCCCTGTCCTTTGAGCAGGAGGCAAAGAAGTTCGAGTCGGCGCTCCAGGTGAGTTCCACGACGTCGTCGTGGTGCCCGGCGAGCACGCGCTCCCTCACAAACTGCCAGCCCAACTCCACGGTCGGAGTCCTGGGGGCCCTAGGGGTGTTTGGGGAGGCTCGGGGTTTCCTGGCCTGGCTACTTCTCACCAATCCACCATGGTACTTAAGGCTGGGGCTTAAATAACAGAACCCAGGCATGACATGGGAAACACTGAAGCAAACTGTTCTGCATTCACACTGCCCAGCGGCCTCCACAGTTGAATCTTCCGACCATGGCTCACGACGAGCCTCGCTGCAATCCCCCCCCCCCCCCCCCCCCCCACCCCCCCACCCCCCCCCCCCCGCCCCTTCACAAGTTAGGGCCAACTTTAGGAAACAAAAGCCGGACCCCACACAGATGCATCAACCCACATAAACAGACCAACGCGCGACACACAAAACACCCCCCAAAACAAGGTCAAAAGCCACCTACTCTTACAAAGAACGATCTGCAGCCAGGGTGCCAGCGGGCATCCGGACTCCACTTGGCGCTCTGGACCTGGGCCTTGAAGTTGATCCGGGTGAGGACGGTGCACCGAACGAAGTTGATGAGCAAGGCCTTTGTGGGGGTTTGGGGAAACCCTAAACCCTAAACCCTAAACCCTAAACCCTTTTTGCGAATCTTCCCTCTTGGAGCTTCAAAGAAGCATGGCCGTGCACGTCGATGGAGAGGAGGAGCCGGGAGTCCTTGCCAAGGCTTTGAGATGCCAAGTCATTGCAATGCCTTCCAATTGGGTTTAGGGTTTAGGGTTTAGGGTTTAGGGTTTAGGGTTTAGGGTTTAGGGTTTAGGGTTTAGGGTTTAGTTTAGGGCCCTTTCCGCATAGCCGGACTTATACTGCAGGGCTGTGGCCACTTTTCCGCGCAGGCAGAGTTTCGGGTCGTGTGAGCCATCAGGAAACGGGAACACCTTGGCCCCTCAACTAACCAAAGCAGTGATGATCGCCGTGTTGGCCCGTCTTTTGCGGGAGGCGCGTCTGCAGGGCAAGATTTGACCCGACACCCTAAACCTCAAGACCCCAACCCTAAACCCGAAAGCCGAGGCCCCAAACCCTGCGCCCTAAGGAAGTATCGAAACTTCCCAAGAGCATACCTAGGGCGTCGTCGTGCGGTACACAAGCAAGGTGTCGCAGGTGGACATGGCGTAGAGGCCCGGAGCCCAAGCCATGGCACCGTGGAGACCGCAACTGCCAATTGCGCGCACTTCCGCAACCACGCCGGTTGCAGGGTCGCGGACAAGGGAGGGGTTGAGCTCCTTGGTGTCCACACTGTCTTGCGGCCCATGCACCGCGTAGAGCTTCCCATTCATCCGCAGCCCATAGACGGTCCCGTTCCCGTCGATGGTCGGTGCAGACCAGTGGGCAGGCCCGCACATGACCTGGATTCCTTCTTCCTGCCGAGCGACCAGGCCCTCGACCTCACCGGCCGCCAAGTTCATAATCCCGGTGAAGCTCTCGGTATTGAACTGCCAGAGGTGCTTTCCGGTATTTGCATCAAGCGCGAGGATGCTGGCCTTCAAGTCGGGTGCACCACTAAATGCGCCAGGCAGGAACACCGTGGCGAGGCCGTCGTGGCCTCGAACAGTTCCTACGGCAGGGAAGGAGTTGCAAGGCTCTGACAGGATCTGCTCCCATGCCATTTTTCCCGACTCGAGGTCATAGGCACGAGCGACGCCTGTTGAACCCACACCTCCCGTGCTATTGGCATAGTTGCTGCACGTGTAGACTTTGCCATTCTGTCCCAGAGATGGGCCGCCATCCGAGAAGGACTCGCTGGAGTTCCGTGCTGGGGTCTTCCACACTGGCTTGCCAGTCTGGAGCGAGAGCTTGTACATTCCACCTGTGAAGTCCATGAAGACTACCGATCTGTCGTCGGGAAAAAGAGGCGACAGGTTCCAGACCACGTGATCCGGAGAATACTCCCAGAGTTGGTCTCCGGTCTGTGCATCCAGGCCGAACACTTTCGAGTTGCCCCCAACAATCCTCTTGTCCTCGCCCTCATCAAGTCCGAAAACGAAGACTCCGTTGTGTGCCGCGGGATAGCCACAGTCCCCGCCGGCACTCGTCGCCAGCTGGTTCGCCCAAACAGCCTTGCCAGTGTTCCGGTCGACTGCAAAGGCCACGCCTGTGGTGGTCGTGCTCAACAGCATGTTGCCATAAAGGGAGGGCTCGTTGTTGGAACGGCCTGGCGTTGCAAAGGTCCAGAGCTCTTCTCCGTCAGGAGAGAACTTGCGGATGCCTTGTGCCGTCATGAGGTACAGGTTCGAGTCCTTGTCGATGATGGGCCCACCGGACATGATGGTGTGATACTGGCCCTTAGGATGCTGCCAGGACCAGGCGGGCGACCCCAGGTCCCGGGGTGGACCCTCGGCGGACGCCGCGGTCTGACTGCGCCCTCGAAAAGTGGGCCAGTGGTGGCGTGAAACCGCACGGCGGTCGACTTGGGCTTGAAGGAGGTGGGTGCTGCAACTTCCCTGGTCCGCCTGGCAGTCTTCTGCTGCAGTTAGGCCGGCAAACAGCGCCAGCACGAGGCGCGCCATGGCTTCTTGTTTCCAAAAGAGCAAAAACTGGGTACTGGGAATATACGCCACGCCTTGAGCGTAGACAAAGTGGCTACAGTGCACTGCTTTCGGGCTTCGGCTCTCTTGCGCACAGCAGGTAAGGCTTTTGAGGTTTAGGGTTTCTCGCGTTTCTAAGCCTCAAGGGCGCAGGTGGAACCAGAAGATAGCGTATAGGAAGCTCTCTCAGAGACCGCGGCGCCTCCGTCAGCGCCACCACCGCCACGTCCTCCCGATTCTCGGGGGCCAAAGTCACCGATCGACCCTGACATCAATGGCTCCGAGCAAGCCCGAACTTATTCGGGCGCATGTCGAAGGAAAGGACTCTAGGAAGGCGACTGATGAGAATCCGATTTAGATCGCTTCAGCGTTTTCGGAATTGGGGGATTGCTGAGGACTCCTCCACTGCCTGTGTCTCGCACCAAACGGTCCGGCATGATACCAAGTGGACTTACATGAACCTACAAGCTCAGCTCACGCCTTGCCCCGCTCAACCCAACCCCAAACCTGTTCTCCAAAACGAGGCCATATTTTGACCCTCCTTTGATTACTTCTCAAAAAGATGGTCCCTGTTAGGGGTCCTTTTTCTAAGGCGTCCCTTCTTATGTAAGGTACCCAAAAGGGACCAACATTTAGAGAGCTGACCATATGACTGTACTCTGGCCAGGGTGGTTCCTGCACCAGGTCCACACCGCTAATGCGATTCCCCACCGCGCTCAGCAAGACATTTCCATCGGGTGTGAACCTCAGCATGCGCATTCCGAGGGCACGGGGGCGCCGAGCTTAAGCTCGGCCAAATCGGTTACTATCGGGGTCGGAAGAAGTGCTTTAATAGTCCCCCCTTATGGTCCTCTATAAAAATGCAATTACTATACTGTAAGAACCCCCAAAACCCTATTCTAATCATTAAGGCTCCTAGAGTTACACAAACTAAGCCATGGTGGTCAGCGTCTTGTTTTTTCATACCTAATCGGCGTGCAGCCTCCGCTCCTCCAACCCATGCTCGCGGAGTGACAACAGGAAACTTCCGCAGATGTGTGTCTCTGTGAGTCCCTGGCACCAAAACCCTTTTGCCTCCTGTCTCCTGCCTGTCGCGACGTTGCCCTAAACCTGAACCTTAAACCCGAAGCCCTAAACCTTTTGCATCTGGCCTGCTGAAGGTTTCGGGCTTAAGCCCCCTGAAATCTAAACTGCTTTAAGCCAATGCAAGAGCATGGCCAAGCCCAGGCCGCGGTCCCCGATTGTCTCTACCTACATGGGCGATTTATACCCTTTGATAACCGCACCCTAAGCCCTAAGCCCTAATAGCCCATGCTGGTAAGCCCATGGCCCCGCTTAGGATCGAAGTAGATCTTCCCAAAACAAGATGCAGGGTCTGGGGGGGTTAAGCTTGTTGCCACCCGCCTAGGTTTTTTTTGGGGTTAGGGTTTAAAGTTTAGGGTTGAGGGTTCTTCAGCTTGTGGTTGCAGCTGTCCGAAGTATTTGGCCGCGGGGCATGTCTGCAGAATTGAATACAAGTTCTTTGGGCCAACCTGCTTGGGGTCTCGGAACTTGACCCTGGAAACCTTCCTGTAGCTATATGGGCTATTCTACCCTACAACCCCTTAAAAAGGCCCTTGATAGGGTTGGTTAGGGGATTATAAGGCCTACTTGCCCTTCCTGTAGCAGGCAGGTCACTGGATTCCTCCCCCCTTGTAGGTGGTGCCCAGAAGGTTCGCGAAGCGATAGGAGCTCATTCTAGGAGGTCATGGCGTCGTGCGCACCCCAAACCCTGCTTGCTGCCTTGCCCTGAGCTTGATCCAGGTTGAACCTACATAAGTAAGTCCGGCCTTTAAGTTTGCTGTAGCTGTGGATGCGACATGATGCGACGTGCAGTGCTTCGCCCTCAGGTGCTAAATTCACCTTCGTGTGTCGCGCTATTTCTTGATCCTCCTGGCCCGATTACCCGAAGGCCGGAAACCAGCCTTTGACAAAGCCAAACGTCGAGACTGGACAGAATGTCAGAGAGCAGACGATCAGTTCCGGGCAAATGACCTTTCCATACCCTGCAAAACGCATCAACAGGCCATTATTGATGATTTAGTGTTTGTTTGCAGGGTTACAACTTTGCCCGCATTCAACCCAGAAACATCACAAGAGGTGCAGCGACTGCACCGGGCCCCCACCAGGCAGCCTGCCACTCGTGGGCTGTGGCCACGGCGTAAGCAGCTTTAAGCAGTCTGTGCCATCTCACCTCACAACCCGACATGTCGTACCAGAAGTCGTCGGGTTACAGGGATAATCGTGGGAGCGGCATGGTTGATCCCAATCACAAGACCCTCACGAGCACAGCATCAGGTTCTTTGTGCTCCCGTGCCGTCTCCGGCAGCAAGCCTCAACAACAACCCCCAAACCTAGACCCTTGTTTCTGAGCATCCCGCAGTCCGATAAATGCGCAAGTCGACGCTGAGAGCCACGGCCTGGGCAACCGTTTTGGGATTTGACGTTTCGGGGGGTTTCAGGTGTTAGGCACGTAGGGTTTTAGGACCTTTGCGGATTGGGGGAGCTCGGCCCCTAAACCCCAAACCCCAAACCCAAAACCCTGCGTAGTCTGGCCCTGGGACCTTTGCACTAAAGGAGGGCTTCCTGCCTTACCCTCCGAGGCACTCACCTAGATAAAGGGCTTTCGGAGGCTGTTCTACTGTTGGTTGGGTTGCTCCCCCTCATACTCACAATCCTTCATGGGGATTATCAGATTATCATCGGCACGATATCATCCCTAATAAGGACTCTTCGTGCAAGGGGGAATATCCCAAACAGTTGGTGATACTCGTATTATTTATTGCTTGGGGCCTTGCCTCTCAGAGTTTCTATGCATCTTAAAGACAAGTTTGCCGCGAGACCATGGTTTCCCCGAAGCTCTACCTTGGGGACGAAATGAACCCTAAAATTGGCCGGGGTCCTTTACCCTACATTACTACATGTATGACTGACAACGTAATTTACTGCAGGACTTTTTGGCAAATGGTTCCGGGCTTCCCCCTGATTCTAAACCCTAAACCTTATAAACCCTAAACCCTAAACGCAAAACGCAAAACGCTAAACCCTAAACCCTAAACCCTATAAACGATCGCACCTCGTTGTCCGACGGCAGCTGCGCCACGCGCGCAGCCAAGGCCATGGCCAGCGACTGCATGGCAGGGCAGGGCATCCCCAACTCCCAAAGGCCAGAAGCCCAGAACGGCGTTTAGGGTTAGGGTCTAGGGCTTAGGGGTATTTAGGGTTTAGGGTCACCCTTTTTTTCTCCTCCCAAGTTCATCTAATTTCTGTATGAATCCGAGCCACCAGAACAGCTACCCCGACCCGGCTTAGGGCGCCTTGACTGAGCTCTTCTCGGTCACGGTCAGCTCGGAGTGCATCTGGCGCTGCTCCGGGAGAGGCCACTGCGACGAGGGGAACCTCCGTCCGTCAGGAGCGGCTCTCTTCGAGTTCGGGGTTGTTTTAATACATGGGTTGACTCTTTTGAGGGGGGGTTAGTAGGAGTTGATAGGGCCTTTTGAAGGGGTTTCGTAGGATTTTTATAGGGAGTTGTAGGATTTGTTTAGGGCTTATAGAAGGGGTTTCGTACAAAGGCTTTCAGCTTGAGCGAGTGAGGGCTGTAGGAGTAGCCCTCGTCGGCTGAAGCGCCTGAGATTGGGCATCAACGTTCGAGGCCACACCCGCTCCTAACCAACAACCCTAAACCCTAAACCTATAAACCCTAAACCCTAAACCTTAAACCCTAAACCCTAACCCTAAACCCTAAATCTCTTAAGAAGACCTACAGCGGAAGGCCCAAACCCCCCAAGCCTTTTCCTAAACCACACAAGCCCTATACACCCTATAGAATCCTATAGAAACCCTACAGAATCCTATAGAAACCCTATAGAATCCTATAGACACCTTATGAAAACCCTATGGAATCCTTTAGAAACCCTATGAAAACCCTATAGAAACCCTACAAAAACCCCATAGAGACCCTAAGAATGGACCCCTGGGCGGCTGGCAAGGAGATTGCGAAGACCTTTGCCTCGGCCGGACCTCTGCGGCATGGCACACGGATCCTGCTAAACCCTACAGCCCTCGGATTTAGGGTTTAGGGTTTAGGGCTTCGGCGTAGCGTTCTTCTTGTTCTAGAGGGTTTAATCCACTCCTCCAAACCAGGCTCAGGGTTTAGGCTGTCGTGTGCGGTTCCATTGACTTTCCTGCATCGGGTTTAGGGGTCCGATTTTCAGGGGGCCTCTGGCCAAAAATCAGGTCAGGCCTTCAGCAGCATCAAAGCCTAGAAAAAACAATCAAGAGGCAGGAGCCAGGAAGTTAGGACTCATAGAAAGCCCCCGGTAGACCATTTACAGCTTAGCAAGCTGGCAAGCTGCTCGGCCCTGTAAGCTTACAGCTTTTGCTTCATGCCCCCCCCCCCCCCCCCCCAAAAAAAAAAAAGCGGCCTTTTGCTCTGTCGTCGGTCTCCCCGGGCGGAGAGATGGGCCTGGGTGCGGAAATGAAGCCCAAATCATATCATCAACCGGGGAGTATAATATCAAATATGTATATATATATATATGTATATATATATATATATATATGTATATATGTATACATTACATGTCAATGTATTGTGATACCAGAAGGTTGTTCTTGGCTTCTTGCGCCCCGTAGTCCAGGCTGAAAAGCGCCGCTCGCCTGGCAGCCAAAAGGACAGCGCTGACTTGCGCACCCGGACTCTTTTTTCAGTACCTAAATTACCTAAACCCTAAACCCAAAACCCAAAACCCTAAACTCTAAACCCTATACCCTAAACCCTAAACCCTTTGAAGCACGGACTGAGGAGGCTGCCGGCAACACCTGCAAGCAGGGCCTTCTTGCCTTTAGCAAGGGTTGCATCAACAGGCGAAACTGAGGGTATCTATCACTGGGACGTATGTACTATGGGAGTACTGAGTTTACGTAAAAGTGAAGTCTGCGAATCATCGAGAATCTCCAGGAGTACTGCCACCTCTTGCTGCTGCCACATAATCTGCTGCAGCGCCGACACATGCACGAATACATCTTGTAACAATTCTGACAGACAAGGCTGCCCCTAAACCCTAAACCCCGAAACCCTAAACCCTACCTCCGCATCCACTCCTCCCGTCAACCCGACCCTAAACCCTGTGGCGCCTTTGGCACCGAAGTTGCGCTAGGACCTGAAGCGTCGTTGTGAGGCCGGCCTGTCCCAAAGATTCGGGTTTCGGTTCCTTCCGCTGTGCACATGATCTCATGGTTTGAGAAGTCTTGGGGGGGGGGGGGTTAAGGGCTGCCAGGGCTTCTCCAAAGACTCCAAGAAGGTGAAGAGCTCCAGTTATACCCCGTGAAAGTGGGATGCCTAAGACGCCCTGAAAAAGGGGACGGGGCGGGGGATTGCTCGACCTTCTGGAAATTTGCTTGCTACCCGGATTGTGGGCCCCCTTTGGAAGAAGATGGATCCTTCTGGGACCCTTTTGGGGACCCTTGTCACCATACTGAACTTGGAGCCCTAGCAGAAAGTACATGATTTTAGCTGTTTCTTAGGAATTATCGTACGCAAAAATGAAAAGTGATCTCCAATTATCCCTAACGAGTCAGGCCCGTGGGGATTTGTGTTTTGCGGCTCTCACCACCAGCCCCCAGGCGCAGGCAAGGCTAAATCAGCTTTAGGGCTGTCACTCGTAAACTCCCCCACCTTGAACTCTATAGGCTTCAAGAATAGTAACGTTCATAAGTAGCAATCATGGTAGAAGTAATAGTGTAGACAATAAGAATGACAATTTTACGAGTAGGAGTAGGATCGGTTTGCAGGGCTTCTGTTGAGGGATTTGCACTGGCTTTGCCGTAATTCGGATCTGGCAAACAATCTACAATTAATCTGACCAATCTGGGCAGGGTCCCGTTATTGAAAGGGGCATTCTACAGGACCCCAAAAGGGACCCTATCATTTCGAGACCTATCCATCTAACCAATTGAAGTAGCAAGCCCTTGACAGGAGTAGCCAAGAAGGATGATCTACAGCGCGACCTGCCCGACAGCGCTGAGGGCACCAGGTTCGTGAAACTCGCGCCTGGAAAGCAACGATGGGGGAGACGTAAAAGTTAGGGTGTTCGGGGGCTGAGGCTTGCTGTCTCAGCCTGCCTTGGTTCCCCCTAGAAAGGAAAATTAAGACAACACGACATATACTTGCAGGAAGAAGACAGCGAAGGAATCGCCCGAATCCAAGACCGTCAGGCGCAATAGGGGGGGGGGGGGGGGGTTAGGGGGGGGGGGGGGGGGGGGTCGCTTTTTGGTGCATGCAAATGTCCTCACAAGGTAAGGCTGCAAGTGCCATACAAGTAGTTTTGACCCTTGCTCAACTGGGCTCGCAACTTCAACTTCTCTTCCACCGTGCAATGCAACCAACAGGTTGCCCTTCTCTGCTGCAACCCATATGAAGAGCCCTGAAATTGCCCTGCATTGCATGGTGCATAAGCTCCCGGCGTCAAGGGACCTGAGGGTGCGGGGTCGGAAACAGAGAAAACGTGCGTCAGCGTGGGCCCCTGCACCTGCAAACCCCGGCTTGCGAAACATGAAATTCTGCACCGGCGAACCCTAAACCTGCAGCCTTGAAGCTTTATAATAACCTGGCAAAGTCACAAGCCACGCAGCTGAGCTGTAGGCGGAGATCGGCCAGAAGCTTCTCCTGGCGCGGGCTCTGACAGAGCAACCCTGACACCCTAGCCTTATCCGTTCAAACCTACCAGGGTGGGCTATTATACCCTATAATCCCTTAAAAAGATGCACTTCAACAAAGCTGCGACGACAACGTTACTTGCACAGGCCAGGTCGTCTGGCACACTACCAAATGGGCATTTCACACGAAGATAGGGGTACCCCCTCTTACACCCCAAATAGAATAGAATCCCCCTTAAAAAGGGACCCCCACAAAGGGTACCCCTATTTTCGGAAACCCGGACGGAATCTGCCGGTGAGGCCGGCGAGGTGGAGCCATCCACGCGGAGTATGTGGGTAGCGCACGCCAAGTGCCTGCAACTCGGTTGACTTGCCCAGTTCATTTGGCATGCAGTGTCTCGTCTACACAACGAGGCTCTCAGATGTGCAGATGTCGAAGTGTATGAATGAGCTGGAGATCTACGCATTGCTGCCGCACTGGGCCGCTAAGCCCCGTCAGGCGCTTCTGATCTTGGTCTAGAGTTCGCTGTGCCAGTGGCTGCTGTGAGCGACGCATGGTTCTTGACATGGAAATCCAGATTTTTGGGCTCCTTTCCGGTGATGGGAAGCAGTGTCCGGAAAAGATTTCTGGGACCTCTCTGGAGAGTTGCACATCTGTTGCCCGAGGCTGCCAACTGGACCTCTTTGAGGGATTTTCAAGGGCCTGCGTTATACCACATCCACCAACCTTTCTTGCTTGAGTCCGTGCAATCCTAAACCCTTAAATCCTTAAACCCTTACACCCTTAAACCCTTAAACCCTTACACCCTTAAACCCTAAAACCCTAAAACCCTAAACCGTCTGTGCTTGAGTCTGTGCTGCGCACCTGACAGCAGGCCGCCGAAGGATCATCCGGCAGCGTGCATTCTTCGGATGACGCTGGATGTGAGCTACTAGCGAAACTAGCATGGCCCTTGAAACTCTCTGTCTGAAGAATATTCCTGAATATGATCCGCTTCAATACGGGAAAATATGAAATATCCCAAGGGCCTATCTAGGCCACAGCTGGCAGCCATTTTGGGCACGAGGATCTTAGGGGCCGGCAAGGTTCGCTGGCAAGCTGTTGGCTTCTTGCTGTTCGGGCTTTGGGCTTCCTGGTTCCGATGGCAGCATGGCGTCGGGAAACCTTTACCCTAAACCCTAAACCCTATAAACCCTATAAACCCTAAATAGCTTGAAGCCGCAGTGCCAAGAAGCACGCCCAGGTGACCAACTGCGCTTCAACTTTCAACTCCAAAAGTCAGGGCAGCATGCATGCGACAAACCACGCATGGTGCAATGACAGAAACCTCGCCTGCGCAAGTATCCACCGTGCGGATGGACTAAATGAAGAGCAGCCTTTTCCTCAACCCCTCTTGCCAGATGGCAGTGTCCCGCGACAGAGACGGCCCTGTGCCACAGACATGGGCTTGGAATGGCTTGTGGCTCCACCGCTGCGCTCCGCAAATGCTTCACGCAATAACCCTGGAACGACCTTCTTACAATCATAATCATCACCACCCACTAGACTTAGAATCATAAAAAAACCTGTGGGGTTTCACTGGGCTACTTGGCAGCTGAGCCGTTCTGCCGCCCATGAAAGCGCAAGCCTCACAGCTCGCCGTGGCCGCCGTGGCCACCGTGGCCTCCATGGCCGTGACCATGGTCGTGGCCATGGTCATGGACCTGCGCTTCCCAGGATGGGCAGATTAGGCCTTAAATTTCCCCCATAATGAAACCTATAGAGGGCTGTTTAAGGGATTGTAGGGTCATTCCCTCCTAACCAACCGTAAGAGAAACCTAGGCAGTCTAGCAGCCTCGAGCTCGCCAATCCGCAGAAGCGCATAGATGGCTGCAGCAGCCAGCACGCAGCACAGCCTCGATGATCAAAACTTCAACATCTTTGGGGACTAAACTTGACTAAATGAACCTTATTGGGTTCATTTTTGGTAGTCAACATTCGGGGTAGGGGCGCGCAGCGGGGTGTCATGTACTAGGGGGCGGGGATTACCGGGTTAACGCCGTTGCCAAGTCGCTTGGAGGTTCGGGTGCTGCGAACCCCAATTCTAAATGCACTCATAAGCCCCCCCCAAGTCCTCTAAGTTCTAGGTAGACTCACAATTGGGGTTACAAGTACGCATGAACCTCCAATCAGGGATCCTTGGGGACTGTCATTCTGGCTATTTTAAATAGTGTATGTGGAGTATTTAGTGGAGAATTTATGTGGAGTATTTATGTGGAGTATTTAGTATTCTGGGTTTATTTGGGGGGGGAGGGGGGGTGAAATATTAGGGGGAGGAGCTTATACGAAATGAACCCTGAGCTGTTCTGCACCTCTACATGCAAGAGAGAAGACAGGCTTGAGCAAGCCTTGAGATCGTGCGTCAGAAGAAAAAACTAAAGAACCACGTGCAACTATAGGGCCTACTATAGGGGTCAGAATGATTACCAATACTCTTCCCTTGTGGTCCCTTGCTATCTATACTACAATAACCCACAAAACCCCTCTCTAATTATGAAGGCTCCCATTTAAACCTGTCTCCGTGGAGTCTGGGCTCATGGCACCTTGGCCCGAGCCCGGCCATTTCCTTGATGGCTCTTGTTGATCGATTCCAAGACCTGGCTTAGGGTTTAGGGTTTAGGGTTTAGGGTCTAGGGTCTAGGGTCTAGGGTTTAGGGTTTAGGGTTTAGGGTTTAGGGTGCAGAAGCCGGTGCAGACCTACTAGTGGCCAGGTTTTCTCGATTTGGGTCCCTTTTGGGATCTCTATGATTTTCAGGTGGCCCTCAAGATTGAGGGACCCTCAAAAAGGACCATAATTTGGAGAACTCACCTAGTGTAGGACCCAGTTGCGATCCGAAAGGAGGCGCTGGCAAGGTGCACGTACCCGAAGGGACTAAATGAACCCTAAAAGGGTTTATGGTTGATATATATATATATATATACCTTAACAGGAATCAAAGTAGCACAGGGTAAATGACCTCAATTTTAGGGTTCATCTGGTCCCCCAGGTATTCTGAATTTATGGAGAGTTGATGTATGAAGCGAGTCTCGATCCCTCAACTCGGGCCACCTGCAACAACCCTAAAAAATCAAGCTGTGCGCGCACCCCCCTGTGCGACGCGATGTCTGTCTTTACCCTACGCAATACACCTTGCATCTTCCGGTTGCTCCAAGAACTTGTCACAAGAGGCAGGGAAATGGCACGATGAAAACCTGACCACCTGGGCGGGAGGACTTTTTTATCTAGAACCAGAAGTGCCGCAAGGGCCTGCGAGGCCTTCCCTGGCGTTTGTGCGCCAGTTCCTTCAACAGGCCTTGGTACGGAGAGCAGTCGCCCGACGAGGGGTCCAAGAAGTCGAACCAGCAGGCCGCATCCCTCACACCCTTGTGGAGCTCGTTGATCGTCTCCTTAAGTAGCCCGGTACCCATCTTATAATAAGGGCACCCTGTTTTGGGCTGTAGTTGCTTTAGAAGGGAACCTTGAGCCAACCAAGAAGAGGGAATTGGGGCACCACTGGGCTACCAAGTATCCCCATCATCCCTGATGGCTTTCAAGTGTTGGTAGAGGCCCTCCCCGACCTCGCGCATGGGCCACTTCAGGGAGAAGGTGTCCCAGTCAAGGAAGTCCTTGTGGTCATATACCTAGGACCTCTACTACTATAATCCCTATGAGGGTATAATGAACCCTCAACTAAACCCTTTTAGGGTTTAGGGTTGATTTAGCCCCCAAGAATCGGAGAAAGGCAGCTCCACATCGTCGCTGAGCAGAACCGGCACACAGCCGGCGTAGAAGGCCTCAAAGAGCCTTACGGTCCACCAGCCGCGCCCGCGAGGCACAAGGCAGAAGTGAGAGTTGCCCATGAGGAAGCTGTAGCGCATGGAGGAGCGGCCAACATCGACATCAGGTTTCGACTGAAGATGTTTGATGATGTTGGGCCGAACTGTCTCATTCACCTCCAGGTAGCCTTCGCGGACATCTGCCCGGGCATCCGACTGCGCGTGCTCCCCTTTCCAGACCAGCAGCAGCTCGCGCTCGGCCGGCGCCCGATTGAAGAATCGGAGTCTTTGGGCTTCGGCGGGTGGGACGGCCGATGGCAAGACCACATCTAAGCCGAATCGAAAGCAGTCCTGGCAATGCCAGGAGGTGCCAGGAAGGATGCGCTCATCATCCTCCGGGCCAAGGAGTGGCCGGGCTTCCACCGCAGCTATCAGGTAGTCTCTCTTCCGGCCCTGAAGCACACTCCTCCAACCAAACATCTTCCACTTCTCGCACGTGAAAGCCAGGAGTACCGGAGGGCCCCTCCGGTTCATCACGTCGCCCATCAGGTTCTCGAGTGCCAGAGCTTGGTCGGCTCTCTTGGAGAGGTGCATGTCGTAGCAGGACATGTAGATGGGCAAGTACACGTAGTCTGCCTCGGCCGGGTCGTCTACGCGGCAGCTCGCGCGTCGTAAGAACTCGTGGACCCAGACTTCGGTGAAGCACAGGCCCCGCCTCGCACAGCTCAGGGGGGCCTCCCGGAGCACCCGCGCGGCGTCGCGCTCGTCCACGAAGATGCGCAGGGAACCGGGGCAGGGGAAGATTTTCTCCGGGGGTGACAGGAACCAGTCATAGTGCATCCAGGCGGCTCGATTCGTCTGGTGCCGCCATCGGCAGTCGCCAACTTCATCCAGCGATGCAGCTAGCTCCGACCCAACCATGTAGCCTTCGAGCGCGGCCGCGTGGGAGGTGTTCTCGAGAAGTGGCACAACAGACAGGACTAAAGCCGCTGCTCCAACGGCACACGATCCTGCGAGTGTCATCACGCGCTCTCGGATGCTCAAACGGTCGTCAGAGCAACATGTTCTCCAAAGCAGGGAAGGCTTCCCCTCGGGTGGCCATGGCTGGAGCCGCATGAACTTCGAAATCGACGACGCCTCGAAGAACGCCTTCCATTGCCTTGGGGACTACATGAACCCTTAAGGCATATACCTTAATAAGAATCATAGTAGCATAGGGTATATGACCATTTTAGGGTTCATATACCTTAATAGGAATCATAGTAGCATAGGGTAGATGACCCCAAGTTTAGGGTTCATTTGGTCCCCTTTTCAGGTGCCTTGCAGAGATCACCCCCCCGTCCGCATCGCAGCCAGAAGCTTGAGAGGAGCAGTCCTCACCTGGGCTACTTCCATTCTCTAAAGTCACCATCTTCAACCCTAAGCCCTACATAGACCCTAAATATAGAGAAACGATGTGCTTTCTTACGGATTCTGGTAGATTATGATAGCCCTTTGTAAAGGCTTTCTTCGCGGCAACCTGGCCACCCCCGGAGCTCAGGAGTTGAAGGATCGCAGGAAGGACCGACGTGTCTCCGGTATGCCCCCGGGCCATGAGGGCCTCAAAGTCCTCGAAACAAAGGGGGAAACCTCTAGGAGTCACAAATGGGGTACTACTCTTGCTTTGTTCAAAGACCACCGTCCCATCCCCCCCCCCCCCCCCCCCCCCCCCAACTAAAAAAAAAAAACCTAAAAAGGGGAAGAAGTCAAGGGCCACACTGAGTCCCAGAGTCTGTTGGCGGAGCGTAAGTTCCATCCGCCCCGGGCAGGCAGCAGGTTGCGAATGTGTGCATCCCATCCCAGCACTCTGCATTGCCTTCTGGGCCATGCTGCTCCTTAGGTTTAGGGTTTAGGGTTTAGGGTTTAGGGTTTAGGGTTTAGGGTTTAGGGACCTACAGTTTTTATGGCTTAGTTGTCCAGTAATCTGGGGGAATTAAAGGTTAACCTTGGGATTTGTAAGGGGATTATATGACCCCAAAAAGGTTAAAGGTTACCTACTCTACTGCTAGGGCTCACAGCAGAGTTGATAGGAGAAGCCTTCCTGCCAGCAGGCCGGATTCCCCTCCTCTGCAAGGGCGAGGGGAACCCCGGCAGCCAGCCATGAAAGGAGCTGCATGGAACATGTCCCACTTGGGAGTGTGCTAGAGTCGCTGCTTGTTGAGTAGCGGTGCTTAGTTCGTTGTGTTGGCTTCTCCACTTTACTGCTGAGCCTAGGTCCTCCGCGGCTAGCCCGGACAACGAGCTTGGTGGAGCTTGAAAGCAGCACATACAGAGGCTCATGGGACGCAGAGCAAGGAGAAATTTAACCCTTCCAAACAAAGTACCGCTCCGCCCCCTGGCACCTGCCTGGGGGAAAAGCATGTTCAGGGCCAGAGAAAGAAAGGTGCCAGCAGTGAAGGCTGTCCTCGGTAGACTAACCCGGCACACTCAATCATAACTCAATCATGAGCACAAGGGAGAATATCTCCGTCACAGAGCCATTGCTGGCCACACAGACTCTCACGCAAGACTGCCATGCGTAAGGCCAACACCTAACAGACTGCAACTGAGTATTGCCGTCATTGCGCACGCCATTCGCCACTTCTTCTATCACTCCGAACGCCAGCTGCAAGCCAAGCTTGGCACATGTATCTCTGCACTGATGCGGCCAGGTCCGTCTGCCCTGGGCAGTGAGCTCTGAACCCTAAACCCTTTGGCAGCAGGCTTTGGAAGGTTGCGCCCGAAACCCTAAACCCTAAACCCTAAACCCTAAACCCTAAACCCTAAACCCTAAACCCTAAACCCTAAACCCTAAACCCTAAACCCTAAACTAAACCCTAAAAGAAGTTCACACATGCCCGGAAATTCACATCTCGGCTTGCAGGCAGCAGTCAAGGAGACAATCCGAAGCAGACTGACACTGAGGCCACCACCGAGCAAATGAACCAAACCAACCTCATCGTGGGGGTTTTTGAGGTCCGTGCACGGATTTAGAATAGAGAGTTTGGGGCCTGCCCATATATAGTCAATATAGACTAGAACACAAAGTGACCTTTAGAAGGAATGGCCTGATGTTGTGGCCCGTGGCGCTTCAGCACGCCCGCAGACATGATAAAAGCTGAAGCAGCGGCAATCCGCATCCTGCCTTCACCTGTTGTCCAGGGGTTAGGACTGCAAGATAGCTCCACCAGCCGGAGAACGTTCCGGCCACATGCTGGTCGCTCCATGTTTTTTTCCCGGCTCGATCGCTTGGTCTCTGGGCCATGACTCCTCCAGACCTACAAGGGCATACAGGGACTGACTTGAGCTGCTACAAACGAACGCGAACAGAAATTGACATGTGCAGGGCGCAGACCTCCGGAGACGATGCCCTGGACCTCCCTGTCGCGTACCGCCGCATGCATCCTGGCACAGGGTGGGCTGACACGAATGATATCGAAAGATGCTGTCGGGGGCTTCCGGGCTTCCAGGCTTCCAGTGTGCATCCAGGGCTTTGACGACATGAACCCTCGTGCGACTTCATGCCCCGCATGAGACACTCTGGCCTTTTGACTGCAACACTCAGGGCTGTCACTGCAAGGGAATTTGAGAGACTTCAGCTTCATTTCGCTGAAGGAGCTTCATACATAGAACACTGTAACGTCTCAGTATCAAGGCTCATTACGAGCCGGCCAGCATGCCGGGCAAGACCAGGACGCACGTAAGTAGAGCACGCATGCTGACATGGCGGAAGCTCATTGCATGACCCAGACTGTCGCATTCGCGAAAAGAGCCATGGTGCCACTCGGTCGCATCGCCTGGACATTCCGTACAGCTAGCATGGCAGCGTGGCAAGGTAGACTTCGGCACATAGATCTGCGACACAGCAGAGTCCGACATGCACTGCCAGGGCCGGTCTACGACCTTCGCGGGCCGAGTCGATGTGCATTTTGCATGGCACGTGAGGCCAACGACTTCACATTGCGTGACGACGAAGGGCTCAATCGCAAAAGCCTCTTCTTTGGCATCCTCTTCGCGCGTGACGTCGGCGCAGAGCTGGTTGCAGTCGCATACTTCTTGGCACTTTTCCTGCCGAAGTTGCGTCTCCTGTGCCACCTCTGCATTCTGCGAAGCTTGCTCCCGAGCACTAATCTCCCGGTTCAACTGGTCCCTGCTCCACATGCAAAGCTCCTTGAGCCCCTCATCTTCCAAGCAGCCACCACCGTGCATGCGATTGTAGATGGACTGAGTCTCCAAAATGGCTCCCATACAGTGCAAGCTGGAGCAAGCTTCATTCTCTGTAGCAGTCAGCGACAAGTACTTGTTGCTCTGCGTGTCCTCAGCAGGTCCTTGGTTGCCCCAACCCCCATTCGCTTGTTGGGGACAAGACAGCTGGCCGTACTCGGCCCGGGTCCAGCAGGCCCGGTTGTTGGGATCTGGCACAGCATTGAAGTCCCCCCGCAGAAAGGAGAGGCAGGCATCCCCTATAGGGATGCCATTCGGGACCTGGCCCAAAGGACAATACTCACACGGAGCAGAAGAGGATGTGGTGCTTCTGACGCGCCCCGCCGGACAGTCCGTACACGCGCTGTCCTTGGGCACGCGGCAACCATCTACTATGCTCAGGCCACAGAACGCGCAATCGACGCAAGTGGAGGCGAAGGATTCGGCATAGTTGTCATGTGCCGTCCCGCTGGGGCATGCTTCACATGCCGTTGAGCCCGACGTCTCAGCATACGTGGACTTGGCGCAAGCTTGGCAGTTCGAGGCACTTCTTGACCCGCTGCGATCGTTGAAGTAGCCCGGCGAACATGCTGAGCAACTCGCCGTGCCGAACTCTGAGGCATAGTGTCCTGGAGAACAAAAATTGCAAGTGTCAGCGCCAATGCCAGGCATCTCCGTCCCAGGTGAGCAAGACACGCACTCGGAGAGGCCTTCTTCGGAAGCAAAAGTGCCGGGCCGGCAAATGGGACAAAGCCCACCTGTCCCTGCCCGGCCCAGGGGGCAAGGCTTACACCCAACACCGTCACCAACAGCCATTTGTCTGTCAGGGCAAACAGAAGTCGTGAGCTTCCACACATCCACGAAACCCTCCTCTTGGCTGCTCGACAAAAGCAGGCCGTTCAGGTTGGACAAGTGCAAGCTAGCAATCCCCTTCGGCTGTGCCAGAGTCATAAAGCGGGAGCCACGCTTCGTGACCTCGTAGTAGTGGTAGTTGGCCGAGGGGTCCCACACAAGGCCAGCGCCACCATTCACACCCTCTCCAGCGCTACTCAGCCAGCAAGTGTTGGGTCCATGGGTCTTGTCGTCACCTGACATGTACGCCCCTATGACCCTCATGCACGCGTGTGTGAGAACAGTCTTCACAGCTACAGGGTGGAGTTGCAGAGGCCCAGCCTTTAATGGCATAGTCGAAAGAAGTACACCAAGCATTCTCGCAGCAAAGGGCCTGGCAGCTCCGGGCAGCCCACTCAAGTCGCCTCAAGCCTAGACTCAACCTCACTCCCGAAAACGCTTTTAGAGTACAATGTGCAGACATGCCAGGCGCAGCTCAAGAGAATGGCTAAAGTCATTTCGCGGAGTGTTCTCTTCTCTCGTGCAGGTCTCGCCTGGCATTCGTCCACGGTCTTGCCTTCCACGGCGAAGCGGTTGAAGCCCGGCAGGTAGTAACTAAAGGTGTAGCTAAAGTCACAAGAGGGGCTGGTGGCCGGGCGCCAGAGGATCAGGTCCTGCTCGTCACCGGAGGCAAGCAGCGGACCCGAGGGGATCCATACAACAGCTTTCACAGGGTGGCTGTGGTCGTAGAGCAGTGTGGCCAGAGTCCAGGAGCCATCGAGAAAGCGCCAAATGGCCAGGTTCGAGTCCAAGGACGCGCTGGCAAGGAGCCCCATCGAAGGGAGGAAAGCCAGGCTGGTGACTATGCGAGAGTGACCGCTGAGTCGGGCTGTCTTCGTCCAGTTGGACTGCCCCTTCACAGGGACCCAAATCTCGATGTCTGCGAAAGATGCGCATGCGATGCCAGCTTGTTGGCCAAAGCTCACATCCTCTAGAGCCTCAGGCGCCCAAGAGAAAGGACCAAGCTGGCCCTCGAAGTCGCTTGCAAGGGTCTCGTTTACGCTCCCCGTTTTTGGCCACACGGTGACCATCTCGTCCTCCGTTGAGCTTAGCAAGCCGAAGCTGCTGATTTTCAGGTGCCTCACCCTCCCCACCGCCTTGGAGCCCACGAAGCTCAGGGATGTGGAGCTCAGCTGCCAGAAGTCGATGCTTTCCTGCCCTTCCCGGGCTGTGGCCACCCAGGTGGAGGTCGCCGCCAGAGTATAGATCGGCACAGAAGGCGCCGCTGGAGTCTCACAGACAACCTGCTCCCCACCATAGGACCGGAGGCTGTAGATGCAAAGGCTGGCATCTTTCAGCGCCACTATGGCCACTTCGGCCCCGTCTGCCTCAAAGACCTGAAGGTCCGTGGCTCCAGTGGCAGAGCGGAGGGTGCCGATCTTCTCGGTGAGGACAATGGCCGCAGCTGCCTCCTCGAAAGAGACCTCCTGCTTCCAAGGGCACGTGGCCTCAGTCACCGGACTCGTCTGCGCTGCGCAAGCCTGGTAGGAGTAGTAGAGCTGGCTGCTGCCGCCAAGTGTTGTGGGCTGGGTGTCAACCAAGCTGCAAGAAGCGCTCACGTAGCACCAAGGCTGGCAACACCACAATCCCGGAGTGGCATCCGGGTACAGCTCGGTGCACTGCTGGAGACTGCCGCATGCATGAGCGGTGCAGTTGCCGTCATCCCATGCAGCGCAGGAGCTCCCATACTCCACGGGCAAGCCTCGGGCAATACCCTCAGCCCCCGGGCCGATACCTGTGCAAGGGCAGCTGGCGCTGGCGATTTCGAAGCAAAGCACCCAGGGCAGAACTCTCATCGTTGGCGGGAGTCAGGACGCGGAACCGCGTCTTCAGTCACAGTCTACACAGTTCTAATGAATACGTGTCACTCTACGTGTCCTGGACGTCTTCAGTCTACACGCTTCTGATAATTGCGTGTCACTCTACATGTCCTGGGCTTCAGCCAACATCATGTCCAACATGTTCATTCACATGCTGAGGCAAGACTCCCACGCACAGTGCAGATGCAGCACACGACATTTGCTTTCTTCTCAAGCAGACACAAGCGCTGACGTCCTCCCTCGCTCTAACTCTCTCTCGTCTCCCTCCCCCTCTCCCTCCCTCTCTCTCTCTCTCTCTCTTTCTCTCTCTCTCTCTCTCTCTCTCTCTCTCTCTCTCTCCCTCTATCCCTCACTCGCTCGCTCGCTCGCTCGCTCTCTCTCCCTCCCTCCCTCCCTCCCTCCCTCCCTCTCTCTCTCTCTCTCTCTCTCTCTCTTCTTCCTTCCTTCCGTTGCACTCAACCCCCAGCAGGGGGTCGCCCTTGCTCTCTCTCTCTCTCTCTCTCTCTCTCTCTCTCTTTCTCTCACTCTCTCACTCTCTCACTCTCTCACTCTCACACTCCCACACTCTCACACTCCCCTCTCACACACTCTCACTCTCTCACTTCTTACCCTCTCACTCACTCGCTCATTCACTCACTCCCTCTCTCGCTCTCTCTTCCTTCCTGCGCACTTGACCACGTTATGCATGGAAGCCAAAACACATCAAGTTTCTGAACAACAAGCAGTCAGGCATATGTGGCATATGTGACGCCATGGCATTACTTCCAATGCTTCGTCGTCAGAATCGTGCGCGCGTTGTTGCTGCTGGCAACGCCGGGGACTATCTCCAAGACGCTGTTTGATTTTGCATTTTGATCCTTGTAGCTCGCAGCTGGAGTGAGTTTCTCACACTATGAACCGCAAAAAAGATTCCAAGAACAATGGCTTGCAAACACTGTGAGCTCCTTTGTATCTCTGCTTCTGTTCTGCCTGACATGAGTTTGAGGTCTGAGGTAGTGTACCACTATAGCCGTTACAGTAGCAAGCAGCTTCAGGATGAACATGCCTCCAACAGCCGAGGCCTTGTGCCGTGCGAAGCCCGATGGTCTTGCTTAGATTTTGTTGCATGCGCTGCATGTAGCTGACGTGTTGACCTATCTGACTGGCATCATGGCAATTGCAGCATGTCAACTTACAATAGCTTGCATGTCCCCGACCTTGCTGGTCTAGAGCTGCTAGCTTGACCCGAAAACAGCTCCGTCCGTCAGCATGCGTCAAAGATTAAGACATCGTCCGGTTCGCATGGGGACAGAGTTCTCAAGGCATTCTGGTGGGAGAGGGTGTTGGCAGGGTTTGGGAGGCTGAAAAATTCTCGGCAGTGAGTTTCTGCGGCCAAGTTGGCTGGCGTTCTTGCATAGGGGTTGCTGGCACCATGGGACCATGATGTGTGTGCTTGGTCACTGCTGCTCCAGTTGCGTCGGAACTGGCCCTGTCTTTCTTCGTCTTCCTGACCATGCCCCTCTTCTTAGGCGCTGCGCCCCCGACTGTATTTGAGGGTGCCGGTGCCCTCTCGAGCCTCGCCCTGTTGCGCTTTCGTTGCTTCCCCCCTGCCTTCATGCTTGTTTTCTGGCTCTTCGCCTCCGTCGATACTGTTCCAGAAGCCATGCGGTCCAAAAATCAGACGTGTAAACCTGAACACCGTGCAATCTTAACAGTCTGGTTTTTTGCCTCATTGGATCATAGGAACCCGAACAACCTACATCCTAAACCCTAGCAAGCAAACTCTTGAACGAAACTAAACCCTAACCCTAAAACCGTGGCGGCCCTAAGCAGCTGGAAACCCTAACGATGCCTCAGCCCTAACCTCGCCTTCAACCACGACCGGCAACAAACCCTTAGGCCTGAACCCTAAACCCGTTCAGCCGAACTCACGGGAAACCCCAGACTGAGGTCCAAACGCCCCTGAACCCCTAAACCCCAAACCCCAAACCCTAAACCCTAAACCCCAAACAACCCTAAACCCTAAACCCTAAACCCCAAACCCAAACCCCAAAAAACCCTCAACCCCAAGCCCCAAACCCTAAACCCTAAACCCTAAACCCTAAACCCTACACCCACTGAGGTCCAAACGCCACCAGCGCAGGTGAGCGAGGCGAGGAAGTTCCAGAGCCTCTGGGCTCCAAGGGCACGGGACTTGGGATGTTCCGGTTTAGGGTTTGGGGTTTAGGGTTACTAGGACTTTTGGTAGAAGGGTGAACATCCCAAGGGAACGGGACTTGAGGGGACTTCGGTTCTCACGCCTGCGGGCGGCAGGACACCACGACTACAAGCTCAGAACCTGAATCAAGAGTCAGCCACTATGTAATATGGCAGCGCTGTGAAAAAAAGAGGGCAACCTGTGAAGAAACCCTTAACCCTAAACCCTAAACTCTAAAGTTCGGGTCAGGATGCTAAGTAGACACATCCTACGCCGTGTTTTGCGGCTTCGGAATTGTGTCTCTTTTGCCTAACCCCTAAGCCCAAAAAACCCTAAGCCGGAAACCTCTACACAGAAGTGCCAGGTCGCAAAAGCTGGCCCGTGGGGAATCCGGCAGCCCGCAACACCATGAAGTCCCCAATCTCCTTCACACTGTGTGCTGGGTGGGCATTCGGGAGTACGAAAAGGGAGGGTTTAGGGTTTAATGTGGCACCCGGTTTAGTGTGGGGGCCCCCCCCCCCCCCTGGACAGTCGGAGGCGCGGATGGGATCCTGATTACACGGCCCCGGGTTCATATGATTTTAATAGGGAGGAGCTTAGATAAGTTCAAAAGGGGCAGTGATGCCCGGCTATCTTTTTTAAAGGCGCGGCGCGTGGAATTTCTTACGGCGCCCGGACGATTTGTCTTTAAAGAGGGACTCCCAAACAGTCAGGGTGTCCTGAATAATTCGGCCAGTTTGTCTTTAAAGCGGGGGCCGATACTAAACCGGGTGCAACATTAGGTTTTAGGGTTTAGGGTTTGGGGTTAGGGTTTAGGGTTGTGTAGGTGGAGGGCATTTTGGGGAGGGCGACATTTCTGCAAGCACTCCATGCAACAGCAGGCTCCACGCAGGGAGGACATGTGGGGCATGGAAGAACTGTTGTTTGGCCCGGACACAGCTGGCATCAACTGGCTGGGAAAGGACACGTGCCCGCGATGCCCATGACCCGCACTCTTGCAGAGACGTCTTGCACTTTGAGCGCACAATTGCAACGCTTGTGCCCCAAAACTCTGAATTGCGAAGGCTCCCCTGCCCAAACCTTCATAGGTTTCCGTCCTGCGGAAGCTCATGGACCTTGGCCCAACAACGTCTGAATGTAGGCTGCTTGCCTGCCTACGCTCGGTTCAATCCCCGGATGCTGACGAACAACACACTGAAGTAGGAAAACGAGGCTTTGGCCCCTGAGCACCTCAAAGAGATGTCACAAAAGTCCCCAAACTTTGGGGACGAAATGAACCCTAAATTGGGGTCATATACCCTGACTACTATACTTCCGATTAAGGTCTCTGAACCAGAAGTTCATTTCGTCCCCAAGGAACAAGGCCACGAAGAGTTCCCCAAGGAAAGAGGCCATGGCGGGAAGGGAATGGGGGGGGTAGCACCAAGAGGTGAAGGCAAGATCTCCACCCTAAACCGTAACCCTTAACCCTTAACCCCAAACCCCAAACCCTAAACCGTAACTCATGCAGAAACCCAGGTCCGCACCATGGATTTAGGGTACCTCATTCTCTCATTCTGTACTAACCAACAGTAAGAGAGTAGGTCTTCATAGCAAGGGTTGATATTGAAAAGGCATCAACCAGACTGTGCCACTGAGGGCATTGCGGCCACAGCAATCATGGCAGACATGCCTCGAGCGACAGCAAAAAAAGGGCCACTGCGTACCGGCCATGGGGCTCTCTACAGCAGCAGGCCGGGATTAGGGTTTAGGGTTTCTGCTGCATGGTCTGAGGGTTCAGGGTTTAGGGTTTAGGTTCTTGCAACTGGCACAGAATGGAGTGGTCGTCTTTAGGTATTAACGAAACGGATATTGAGACCGTACCTCTTCTCGGAACAACCTCACATCTTCCACTCTGATCAGCACGGAACTGAAGCGCAGCAGCGAAGCCAGTGTCGAAGAAACCATTAGCCCCTAGGTCCACGGATTTTGGAGGATTTGCGGCTGCCTTCTCCTTTTTTCACTAAGAAACTTAGGGCGGGCCAGTTTCTGGACATTCTGTCGAGCTCAGTGGCTCAGTGGCAATCGCGACTCTTGTTTATCATCTCTTGACCCAACCCCTGTGTGTCCCCCGTTCGCGCCCGAATGCCCAAAGCCCTGTTTGTTTCCGCAGCCAGCCGCAAGGCCGAATTTACCCCAAGCTGGGGCGCTTCTTAGACCTCGAAAAAACCCGAAGCACACAAAAGCCTACAGTTAACAGCCAAGGTCCTCGTCTGCTTCTAACTTGCAGCCCGAACTCTAAACTGCCTAAATCTTATAAACCAGTTTAAAAGCCAACAGCCAAAACCCTGCAGCTTACCTTGGGGACTAAATCAACCCAAAACAGGTTTTAGGGCTCATATACCCTTCATAGAAATGCTACTAGCAATGGGGCATATGATTGATACCTTAAAAGGTTTCAGGGTTCAAAAACCCTTCATAGAAATTCTACTAGCATGGGGGTACATGACCACAATGTTGCTTAGTTGTCCAGTCATCTGGGGGAATTAAAGGTTAGCCTTTGGGATGATAAGGAGCTTATATTACCCCCAAAAAAGGTTAAAGGCTAGGGTTTAGGGTTTAGGGTTTAGGGTTTAGGGTTTAGGGTTTAGGGTTTAGGGCTAGGGTTTAGGGCTTAGGGTTCACCTACTCTACTACTAGGTTTCGGCTGTCATTTGGTCCCCCAAGGTACCAACAACTCCCAGAGCCCTTGCGACAGCCTGCTGGTGCGCCAGCCATCCACGAGAGGCCCAGGCCTGCTTAGGGGTTTAGGGTTTAGGGTTTAGGGTTTAGGGTTTAGGGTTTAGGGTTTAGGGTTTAGGGTTTAGGGTTTAGGGTTTAGGGTTTAGGGTTTAGGGTTTAGGGTTTAGGGTTTAGGGTTTAGGGTGTAAGCCCCAAGGCGAGGGTGGCTCAGGATTCAGGGCTTCAAGCCCTTTTGGTTGCAAGCAGCTTCACGGCGTGATTCGGACTCCCCAGATGATTCTAACTCCTACTACATGGGCTATCCTACTCTATAACCCCTGAAAAGGGCCCTTTATAGGGCTGGTTCGGGGATTGTAAGGCCTTATAGCCCTTGCTGGTAGAGATTAGGGCTTGTAAGGTGCACCCGTGCCGGCACCTCAGAGAGCCCCCGGGTTCAAAGAGGGTCTCGGCTACAGCGGCCTCGCTATGGTGGTTCAAAGCTGATAGAGATGCCGACCTCCCTGGTTTCATCAGCGGAGGGTTCAAAAACGGCTTGGAGCCGACTAGGTCTGCATGCCTTGAGAACGCTACCGTCAGGAAAACGGTTTACCCTAACCCTGAAACCTCAGTCCTTTCAAGGGCCATCTGGGCTGCCATACTTATTCCATCCACGAAGTTGTGGAGCATCTCTGTGACCTCACGCCGGGTGTAATTCTGCACCAGGTGCTCCCATGGCTCAACGTTGATTCTGAGCTGAGTACCCGAAGCCCAATGTCGGTGCATGCAACGCTGGAAAGTTGAACCCGGTCGCAGACACAAGCCGACCACACTTCCCCCCTCAGCAAAAAACTACACATTCTCACCCGAAACCCCTTCACCCCTTCGGTTGCGCTTTTGGACCAGCCCGAAGCTTCAGCTGGGTAGCTCCAGATGGAGCTGTAATGCAAAATTTCGGGGGGGGGGGGAATGGGTTTGAAGCTTGGAGTCTGAGTCGCCTGCGAGATTGGCCCAGCCGTAAGCATGGACCTCTGCACTCTGCACAGCCACTCTCTCGCAAGGGGCCTCAGAAGCCTCATTATTCTCTCATATCTCGGAGAAGCCAGGTGAGGCAAACACCATCCCTAAACCCCTAAACCCCTAAACCCCTAAACCCTAAAACCCTAAACCCCAAACACACCCCGAAATGCCATGTCTGAAGCTCTCTAGGTGCTTTTCCTACAGGCCTTGGTATTGAGACGGCACTGTGCATTGAGGCGGCCACTTGCGTGCCATGCTGGGCACCTGGACGTCCAAAATCAATCCACTGACCGTGCCGCAAGTGTTACCAGCGTCTCATTTGTTATGTATGTATATGTATGTATATGTATGTATATGTATGTATAGATACCACCATGTAGGTAAGCCCCCCTGGGCCCCCGGAACCAACCCCGGAGAGCACTTTAGCTTCACGCCCATATTCGACATATATATATATATGTATAGAGAGTATTTATGTATATATGGAAAATTAAAATAACAAAAAACGTATGTATATAGGATAATATTATTTATGGACTATGGCACAGCATGCACGTCTGAATTCCACGCGCCAGAAACATTGCAGGCGTAGCGTGAGATTATCAGATAGGACCGGGCAAGAAGGCGACTTCAGGGTTTTAGGGTTTCAGGGTTTCAGGGTTTCAGGGTTTTAGGGTTTTAGGGTTTTAGGGTTTTAGGGTTTGCAAGAGCTTTAGGATCTTAATTAGGGTTTGCAAAGGCCAGGGAGGGCGGCCGTTGGAAGGGAAGCAGGAAAGCTATTTCGTGAGGCATCAATCCTGCAACGAACCGAAGGCACCTCAGAGCTACATGCTAAATAAATATTGTGGGCCTTTGTTGGGCACCTATTAGGAACACGGTGGAGTAACCCAAAGAGCCCGAACTCGGAGTAAGTCCCCAATGGGTCCAAACACCTGCCTTCGTGGTGATCGTGATGTTGGTGACGCCATTCACACACTTCCGGAATTGCTAAGATGGCTAAACCTTGGGCGGTGTTGGATGAGGGCTCGCCATAATGACAAAAGGATAGAAAGGCGGGGTACAGAGACGCTCACAGCAACACCTGCCGCGTGAAGCTTCCGAGGGCACAGCTGGTACTTGGTGTTTTGGGTTGTTGGAGAGTGATTTGATATGAGACAATCTGAGACAATGCTTCCAAGATTGAGATTCATGGTGACTAACTTTCTCACTGCTTGGGGGGTTTAGGGGCTCAGTTTAGGATGGGTGCCGGCTACTGCCTCGGAGAAGCCTTTCTATGCATGCCTTCCACAAGCCAACCACCGAGGTCCTCGCAGCCCACCGTGGCGGAAACACCCACGGCACTCATAGTGTCGTGGTCCGCTCCCTGACAGGAGCTCAGGGCGGGAGTCGAAAATAACAGGGATTCTCTTGACAGGCTGCTCAGCAAAAGTCCAAGACGCTGGATTTAAGGGCACCCCGTTTACGTGCGGTCACAGTTTGGCGCATGTTCGTTCAGAGACCCTGCTTCGAACGCAACGAGCCCGGTGTCTCAACAGCGGATCACAGGAGCTCTCGGCGGGTAACGTTGCACTGCTTTTAACAAATAGTCGTCCCCCCCAACAAATTTGGACCCTCCATAAACACATGGCGTGGCGACCCCTCCAAACAAATTGGGGGGGGGGGGGGGGGGGGGGGGGGGGGAACCGCCCTCTCAAGCCTTTAGGACATCAAGGCCTGAAGCTTTCCAGCCTTTAAGATTCCTGGAGCCCAAGGGCCTCAGGGCCTTAAGCCTTACTGCGTAAGCCCTGATATAACCCTAAACACAAACCCTTAAACACAACAATCATCCGGAATAAAACGTGTGTATTATAGAGGGTGACCAGACAAACTTGCCAAAGACAGTCCGGCCAGCCCGTGGGCTATCTATCACAAAATGTTTGGGGCCTCGGCTTTCCATGGAACTGGTGGGCTTAGCTTTCTGGCTTTTTCCGGGCTCTGGCTCTGTAAGATTCCTGGAGCCCAAGACCCTCAGGGCCTCAAGCCTTAATGCATAAGCCCTTAACCCTAAACACAAACCCTTAGAAAACAACAACCGTCCGGGAAAAAAAAAACTTGTGATACTAGCGGGTCACTCCAACAAACTCGGTTCGCAGAAAAAAATTGGAAACTTGTGATTATAGACCCTGGATACATTAAAGTCAGTGCAACATTAGCTTCAAACCACTGCTCTGTCTTGGCATACAGGGGCTGGTGATGACGAATGGCAAGCGCCCTGCCCCCGAAGGGCCCCCAAAATGCAAGGCCAGTTTGGGCTTCAGCTGTGCATCGCTCGCGTGGCAGTCGCCTCGAGTGCATGCGGAAGCAGGTGGATCAGGGCGTCGGCCACCAGAACCTCGCGATGGGGCATTGGAGCAAAAAGGTTGTTTCGACTGTCACGCTGGCATACACGGGCGAGGCTCTCGTCTGCAGGTTTCGGTGAAAGGCCACCACACGTCGCATGCTACATTGCAAGCAGGCAGAATATTCGTACCAGTACACACCTACCACACGCGTGCTTGGTGCGGCATGTATAGGGCTTGCTCGCATCACGGCGAAGCAAAGCTTCGCAAAGACAGTACGGCAAGGCAATTCATCCCATGCAGCTGCTGTCTGCGAGCGACTTCGCGCTGATCAAGGTGCTACACATGTCTGCTACCTGGGCCACGTCCGTCCGTTGCTTAGATTCCCTTTTGGTTGAGGATGTGCTCCACCGGAGGCATACAGGGTCCCGGCTTTAAAGGGGGTTTAGGGCTTCCTTGAAGAAACAAGCAGCCCCCTTGAGGCCAGCGCCGTAGCAGCAAATGCCAGGCAGCAGTACTCCACCACTGCTCCAAACCTCCATGCCAAGGGCCCTAATAAATTCGGGGTCGGAACAATTGCTGATAATATTCCCTTAGGGTCCCTTTATCAATTTAGTAGAATAACCCCCGCAACCCTATTCAGGCCTCTAGATTACCCGACTTTGCGGCTTTTGGGTTAGTCTGTTAGCTTGTGGGACTTTGGGATCATCTAGCAATTCTATTACACCCCAAAAGACTCTGGAGCTTCCAGGTAGTTTGTTGAACTCATCCGTCTTCACACCCCCACCCCCCCGCAAGCAACGAGGAGCCGAGAGCATTCCAGTGTCTTCGGGGCCCCAAGAGCCGAAAGGTTGTTGGACTGAGCGGACTTTGGGCTCTTAAGCAAGTTGAGTCCCGAAGTAGGCCGCAGAGAAACCCGACACTCCAGCCACTGACCTTCAGAACCGAACGCAACAGTTTCCAGGCCACCCAAAAATCCCATAAGCCTTAGGGTCATCTCCTGCAAAGAGGTAGGCTTCGAGTTACTCACGGCAAGCCCTAAACCCCAACCCTAAACCCTAAACCCTAAACCCTAAACCCCAAACCCTAAACCCTAACCCTCTCCTGAACCCTATTGCGCTTGCACTGCCAACTCCGAGGCGCCGCGGGATCTGAAGGAAGACCAGGAGCCCAACACCTGCAGAGCTTCGGGTTCTTTCTGGGACCCTCATTGCCTAGAGTTAGGGTTTAGGGTTTAGGGTTTAGGGTTTGGGGTTTAGGGTTTCGGCTTTAGGGTTTAAGGGTTTAGGGTTTGGACCCTCTTTACCTACGGTTTTGTGGGTTCTACCTACTAAATAAGAGTAGTTACTACTAAACTGCGGGTAAGAAGAGTCCTGCGGGCTTCAAGGGGTCTTAGGTTGGGATGTTACCCCCTTATACGAACAGTCCTTAGTAGGGTTTAGGGTTGGGTTTAGATACTGACAGTCCTTCATGGGCATTCCCTATCATAATCCCTATTAAGGAGCTGTTAGTATACGGGGGGGGAAGCACAAATGAGCGGAGGCATACGGTTTTATAGCACATGGGCACTTGGGCTTGTAATCTGCTTTTATTCGCTCTGCATAGCGCGGGCTGGGTGTTCGGGACTTTTCGCAGCTTGCGCACACCACGCCTGCGAAGCTGATGAGGCTCATGACCAGCGCCGAAGCCTGGATTTGCCACGCAGGGGGGTTTAGGGTTTAGGGTTTAGGGTTTAGGGTTTCAATCTATTTTGGTGCCGGCTACCGATCTCTGGGACTTGAGGGCCAGACGTAAGCATAATGATACCAGGGCCGCTCGAAGCTGAGACCTCAGGCAGCGAAAGTGTGTGTGACTTCTTAGTCTAGTGTGTCTCGGCATTAAGAGATAAGTAGGGGACTACATGGGAGCTCCGAAAGAACCCAGGGAATAGAGCAGGTGCATAGCTAGAGCAGCTACAGGATTTCGGCCTCACGACACCACATTCGCTACATGAGATGCCGAAGCCGAAAACATACGAGAGCTGCCCAGCAAGGTTTTCGTGCGCGCGCCAGAAACCCCAAAACCCGAAACCCTGACCCTACACCCTATGAACCCTAACCCAAATCCGAGGCGACAGCGGCTGATGTGCCGAAAAAAAAGGAACAGAAAACTGGGGTGGCAAAGCGCTCTTCGAGCGCATGCCAGGTTCCACTTAAACATTTCTCCGGCTTGTAAGCCCTACCTCTGTACCGCTATAAAGCCTGTAGTTTCCTACATTAGGGGTCCCTTATTTTCGTGAACCCCCAAAGCCCTGAACGCCCGGCCTCCAACCCAAGCCCTGAACTGAAAATCCTGAAAGCCTAAGTGCCGCAGACCTAACGCCCGGTCGTCAGCCGCGCCCAGTATGCCGGCGCAACTTGCGTCGGAAGGGAACCATCCTGCGACCTGAGTGGAACAGGAGAGAACAGTGTAACATCGGGGGCGTCAGTGGTTAGAATAGCTTTCTTGGGGGATACTATAGTATAACATAGTGTAACCATAAAGGGACTCTGAGGGAATGCTCCTAAACCCTAAACCCTAAACCCTAAACCCTAAACTTCTTCCGACCCCTATACTGCATGGGCAGCCTTGGACTCGACCCATTTCAGGCGCGAGATCTCCCTCAACATTCGAAAGCCCCAAAAGTTGTCCCCCAGCCCAAAGCCCTCCTGTCTCATCCCTCTCGTTTAGGGTTCGATTAGGGTTTAGGGTTTAGGGTTTAGAGTCTAGGGTTCAGGGTAGATCACCGCTCTGAGGCGTGGCTGTGGCCTCAACCCCCAGGAAGAAACCAAACTCTTCGCTGTTCGGATCTGAAAGCGGCAGTGTCTGTTGGAGATGGGCTGACTGACTAGCATGAAACTTAACACCAGAACTCCTTAAAATCTCCACACCCTGGTTCTTACACATACATCCTGCCTATGAGATCAAAAAAAAACGGCCTAACGACTTCAAGGGTGGATTCCTCTCATGCAGACGCGTACGGCATGGCCCCCATCCCGCCAGCATCAATCCGGGCAGCACAGAGCGCAGAAACTCGACGCCGGCTTTTGGCAAGCTTTTGTCAGCGCCCTCGGCATCCTCCTGTCGCGGAACTTATGTTGTGCTTGGTTCTAGAAGGGTTTAGGGCTTAGGGTTTAGGTTTAGGGCTTTTGGAGGATAGTTTGGGCTGAGGAGTGAGGGTTTGGGGCTTACTGGGCTTAGGGCTTCCTTGGGGCTTCTGCAATGCTTCGGGTTAGGGCCCTTGCTTTCACGGCACAGACATGCCAGACATGCCAGTTTGAGGTGTGAACGATCAACTGGCTCAGGATGTCGCAGGGATGCCACGCCAAGCAACTGCAGGCCCGATGAACACTTGACAAGACACGGGGCTGCAATTGCTCAGAATACAACGATTTTAGGAACCATGATCCTTCCAGCAAACACTATCAATTTATCGGAGAGGTGCGAGTCACGTCCAGTGCCGCTTTCCTCCTTGTGCCGTTCCTGCTTTGTAATGTTGACTTCGCATTAATAAACCCCCCCCCCCTTCATTGATCAATCTCTCCGGCCAGGGCCTCCTCAATAATGTTCGCCTAAATCCTGGTAGGACGTACTATTAGTTTTAGTATTAGGTAGTAGCACCACGCCCGTAAAAAACGGATTTCCCGGGTCGGATTTTACAATTGTGGCGGGTTACAATATTGTGTTCCGGCAGCTGGATTTTACAATTGCGGCGGGAATCACTAATGTGAAGTCAACATTAATCTGGTCCAGTTCACAAAACCAAGGGACCCTGGAAGCACAGCCAGGGTTTCACATGTACCAATTACGAAGACAGAAGGCCTACGACTCTCGTTAGCCACTTACCCGCGTCTTCAGTAGGTTGCCAGTAGGCCCATCTGACGACATCTTCGGCAGGGTTTGGGGCTTATTTAGGGCTATCCGCTGTTGCAGCCAGGCCTCTTTTCTGCCAGGGTGCGCAGCACTCTGTTTGAAACCGAGGCGTCCACTACGGAGAAAAGCACTCCACATGGCAACATTCTTTTTACGCTAACAGCACTGACCCTGAACCCTGAACCAAAGAGGCGGCTTGACAGTGCTAGATATCGGATTGCCCCAGGTGATCACAGATCCATTGTCCAGAACAGCAGCAAATGAGTTACAATTAGCCTGGATACTTTGCACGTTCTTGAGCTGTTCCTGGACTGACCTGCTGTCACCACCACCTCTCGGATCTCCCCAAGTGACCACAGATCCATTGTCCAGAACTGCGGCAAATGCACAAATGCCAGCGTGGATACTCCGCACGTTCCTGAGCTGCTCCTGGACGGACCTGCTGTCACCACCACCTGACTGATCTCCCCAAGTGACCACAGATCCATTGCCCAGAAGAGCAGCAAATGCCAATGCAGTAGCCTGGACACTCTGAACATTGCTGAGCTGATCCTGGACGAACCTGCTGTCACCTCCACGTACCGAACGCCCCCAGGTGACCACAGATCCATTGTCCAGAACAGCAGCAAATGCGGATTCAGTACCCTGGATACTCTGCACGTTCCTGAGCTGACCCTGCACGGCGGTGCTGTCACCACCATATGCCAGATGCCCCCAGGTGACCACAGATCCATTGTCCAGAACAGCGGCAAATGCACAATAGGCAGCGTGGATACTCCGCACGTTCCTGAGCTGATCCTGAACAGCGCTGCTGTCACCACCATATGCCGGGTTCCCCCAGGTGACCACAAATCCAGTGTCCAGAATAGCAGCAAAGGCCGAATCAGTTGCCTGGATACTCTGTACATTCCTGAGCTGCTCCTGAACTTTGCTGCTATCACCGCCACGTGCCGGACTTCCCCAAGTGACCACAGAGCCATTTTTCAGAACAGCAGCAAATGCAGTACCAGTTGCCTGGACACTCTGCACGTTCCCGAGCTGATCCTGGACAGCGCTGCTGTCACCGCCATATGCTGCGTTCCCCCAGGTGACCACAGATCCATTGTCCAAAACAGCAGCAAACGCGGATCCATTTGCCCGGATACTTTGCACGTTCCTGAGCTTGTCCTGGACCGCGCTGCTGTCACCGCCATACATCGGATCCCCCCAAGCAACCACAGATGCATCACCCAAAGTGGCAGCGAATGATCTACCAAGTGCATGACCTGCCACCACTGTCTTCCGAACTTGCAGTTGCAGTGTTAGAACATCTCCAGGCTTTAGGCCAGCTCCACCCACTGTCTGGCTGTCATCCATGACTCTGCCCGCCGAGTCTCGCAAGGTCCCCATACCCACCTGCAAGGCACTTTGGGCATCCAACCTTACATGCTTCAGGGGGCGTTCGGAGTCAGCTAGGACTTCAGCGGCCCTCCCACTCATCAGGACCACGCTGAGAGCATCCGGAACCATGGCAGCAAAGCGCAAGTTGCGAATGAGGTTTAGCTTTATCATATATATATATATATATCTATATATATATATATATTTATATATCTATCTATTTATTTATTTATTTATATGCCGACTAGAGGATTTCAAGTACTCATGGCGTTCATCGCAGAGTCGCAGAGCCTATCGTGATACGAGCACGAGTGGTGGCAACGGGTAACTCTCGTAAAAAGTGTAGTAAAATGAGGCGCAGTAGAAAGAGATCCTATGAACCCAAAAACCCTAAGCAGTAGGGACAGCAATACGACCACATTGATCGGAATCATGGCTGCAAAAAGCACGAATCTAAACAGGCCCCCGGCTGAAAGCATCAGTATCCGTACTTCAGCTACTTGGAGGTTCATGGGTACTCATAAACCCCATTAGAAGTACTTTGAGGACTTAGTGGGCTGAAAAGTACCGTTCTATCTGGGGGTGATGTGCACAGGTGATGTGAAAACCCTAAACCTTAAACCCTAAACCCTATTATAAACCCTAAACCCTAAACCCTAAACCTCCAAGTAGCTCCGTCCTTCGACACGTTGGTCTCGATGTGGACCGGCTGTGGGGTGTTGCGGAAGTCTACGCCCCAGCTGTGCAGCTGGCCTCACATACTTGTTAGGGTAGGGTTTAGGGTTTAGGGTTTAGAGGGTTTAGGGTTTATAGGGTTTAGGGTTTAGGGTTTAGGGTGTAGTGTGTAGGGTTTAGGGCTTAGAGCCTAGAGATTCGGGGGTTTGAGGGTTCCGGGCTTTTGGGTTTAAGGGTTTCGTTTCGCTCCCGCACAGCTGGATGAACCGCGCCGCAGGTTCTTTTCTTTGCCACCGTTTGCTTAGGGTTTAACATGTTCTTAGCTGGATAGGTAATTACTAGTACCTTATATCTTCCTACGCAACTTTTTTCAGGGAATAGAGGGAGCCTACTTCCGCAATTTCCTGCGAAGAACTCGCTTCGTTGCACGTGGAAGCCTGAAAGCCCACAGGGGCTGCGTGCCTAGGGGGGGTGGGGGGGCCCTGAGCCATTCAAGGGCTTCTGACTGAAAGACGTCGACTTGTCGTGTCGCAGAAATACTCGAAGCAACTGGGGCCATGCAAGCTGAAGCCTTCTCTCTCTCTCTCTCTCTCTCTCTCTCTCTCTCTCTCGCTCACGTACTCAGGCTGAAGCCCTAAGCCCTAAAACCTAAGTGAGTATAGGAGTCCAAGGCTACTAGATTCTCCGAAAATTTTGAGGAAGAGTTCAGGATCGAAATGGGAGGAGTCAATGAGTCGAAGTCGCAACAGCTATGACGAAGAACCTGTGGCCTGCGCTCCGATCACTGTAGCACTCGGTCGGACTATAGGTCACAGGAATATATATATATATACACACATATATATACATATATGCAAAATCTATGAGATGAACCCAACACCCTAAACCCTAAACCCCATACTTATAGTTCCAAAATCTCATGGCTAAAACTCCTCAGGCGGTTCTGCTGGAAGCCAAGGCACCCAGGAGCTTGTACATCAGGTCCTCAGGTCGAACCCTTCTCCACCCCCCACCCCCCGGCCTCGGGTTTAGGGTTTAGGGTTTAGGGTTTGGGGTTTAGGGTTCATAGGGTTTAGGGTTTAGGGTTCACAATCCAGATGCGGGAAGTAGGCAAAAAAAGGTTCAGGGCTTAACTAGGGTTCAGAGGATCTGTGGTATAGAAAAAAAAACTCCATGCGTTCGCAAGTTTACCAAGCCTGCGCTGGCACCGCAAGGGCGGCCGGTAACGTCAAGGCACGGTAGTGTCGCGCCGAATGTCACGGATGTTTTGCCAAGGCTGTCGGTGCATCACCCTGACCTTGGGCAAGGGTACAACTTTGCAACGAGCGGAGGCATGTGCTGGGGCCATTCAATGTACCAAGCTTGTGGCAACAGCCTAGAAGCGTCAGGCAACTCTTGAACCGACGAAATCTTGAAATCTTGATAGGGGAAGCATCTTAAGACATTATCCTAACCCCCCGACCGCAGACCCCAACAAGCCTTAAACACACGCAGCTCGAACTCGAAAAGGAGGTGCGATGTACATTCACCAAGGATGCAACACATTGCTACGCCTGCACCAAGGCCGAAAGGCGAAACCCTTCGTGCTCATGTGGTCCAAGCGGCGCAGTGCGTCACGGCACCGGCGAGGTCGCAGTTCGCCCGGCCCCTCTCCTGGGCGTTCAGTGATGAAACTGGTGCTACAGATCTACCGTCGGCGGATGTTGCAGACTTCAGGGCTACAGCCTCCCTGGTGGACTCAGCGAAAGTCAGGAAAAATGCCAGGTGCACTTGAGTTTCCACTGGGGAGAAGCTCCGCACATATGAGGGCACCCACGCCTCGGCATCCAGCCCGTTCGGGTTTGGGGACCTGACTAACTGGGTGTAGGGTTTTTTGCCACCCGGTTTAAGGTTTAGGGTTCGACTCTCGCACTGGCGAACGCGGGCAAGGCTCTTGGTCAGAGGGTCCAGGTAAAGGTATAGGGTTTAGGGGTGCAGGCTTAGGGTCACTGATCCATGGTCTGATTTATGGCATGGACCGGGGATGGGTCCTTCCCACATTCTTTTGAAACTAAAACCACCTCTGAAAGCGTGGAGGGCTCAGGGCGTGTGTAGGTATCCCCAAACGGACACCCGATATGTACTCTCACCAATTTCTAAAAGGACGATACCATCACAGCAACATAAGCCCTGTAAAAAAGGAGCCCTCAACTCATCATCTGGTGATTGCCAGAGTCGGAAACATTGAAAACTGAATCCTGAGCACGTGCGACTTGGGATGTTCCCCCTTATACTAACAGTCCTTAATAGGGATTATCATAGGGGTACTCTCGTCCCTATGAAGACCTGTTTAGTTTGAGGGGGAACATCCCAAGTTCTGACTGCAGTCGGGCAGCATGTGCGTTCTCATGAACGTACAAGGCGACATACTGATTGATCCTTCGGGGAAGCTGCCGGATATGCCAAGATGCTGGTAGTTGGCAGCTGGAAACACGGTATGGACCTAAACCTTCATGCACAATGCCCGCAGTTTGCATCTACAAGCAGGTTCATGTTCCCATCGTGCCCTGGCTTGCACATTGCCATGCATTGCACACGATATATCCGAGCTTAGCTCACATCTCTCCAGTCGGGTGCGAACGGACGGTGCCATCCTATCTGTGATAGGATGGAGATGGTCCTGTGCAGCACTGTCGTCGACATCTCGGAGGTTTGGAATGTGACGCCGATTTCAACCACGGCATTGAGGGAGCGCCCCAGATTGACAAGGCTTGCCTGGCACCGGGGCATTGCTCGGCATTAAAAGGGTTTTGGGTTTAGGGGCCTTAATGATTAGAATAAGTTTTGATTATAGTATATGTGTAAAGGGACCATAAGGGAATACTAATAGTAATTATTCCGACCCCTATATTAGAGTTTAAGGTTTAGGGAGACACGGGAGCAGAGGGCTTCAACATGACAAAGATGCAACTTGCGCCTGGGACGCTTGCAGGTCTGAGAATCGAAAGAAGCGCCTACTAGCCTGCGCTTCAGGTGTGTCTGTCATCTTCTACGATACCTCCAGCCTGATACACGCTAGAATGGGATGAAGAAAAACATGGCCATTCGATCTAGGAGCACTCGGGCTTGTGAAAAGAAGCCCATAGGCAGCTGCAAAAAAACATGATTATCTACCCTCAGTGACCGTTGCCCAGCGGATGCCTCGTTGTACAAGGCATTGTTTTTCAGATAGATGCAGTGGTTGGACAAGTCTCGCGCTTCGGTGCTCATGATGTTGATCCTTGCTCACCCGGGGAGAGAAATCACCAACCTTCCTGACCCTATTGCAACCCTCAACCCCAAACCCCAAGACCCTAAGAGCCTAAGACCCTATAAGACCCTATAAGACCCTATAAGACCCTATAAGACCCTATAAGACCCTATAAGACCCTAAAACCCAAAGACCACTAAACCCCAGAGATCTGCCAAGGGACTTCTGGATGGTGTATATCCTCAGGGTATCACCCTCACCCAGCTGTATCCGATCACCCACGTCGTAGGGGTGCATCACCAGTAGCCTTGGGGGGGACGAAATGCACCCGAAGATTGGGGCCATATACCCTGACTCATCTGAGGCGATCTGAACCCATAAACCCTTTTCGGGCCCTGACTACTAGAATTCCTATGAAGGTTATATGAACCCATAAACCCCTTCTGGGTTCGTTTAGTCCCCAAGGAGCAGAACCACGCTCTCAAAGATCTCCTTAAGGAGGTTCCCGAAGATGAAAGACAGGCCCAAGGCCACCGTCGACATGCTGATGCACAGAGTTCGCAGAACCTTGGGTTGTTTCCTCCCTTTTTTTGGTTTAGGGTTTAGGGTTCAGGGTTCAGGGTTTAGGGTTTAGGGATTCTAATAGGGGGGGGGGGGGGGGGGGGTACTAGAATCCCTGTTAAGGAGGTACCGTGGGACGTTTTCTAACTTAGCGTCCCGGATTCCTCTTTAAAGGGTGCCGCCTTATCATGGGTACCCACACAGGGGGATCCTAATTTAGAGAACTACCCAAATCACTTGGGATGTTCCCCCTTATACTAACAGCTCCTTGATAGGGATTCTTATAGGGGGTACTGGAATCCCTCTTAAGCAGCTGCTAGCAAAAAGGGGGGGAAACATCCCAAGCAGCACTTTCGGTGAGTCACTCCTGGAGTTCCAAGATGGTCATCTTCTGGGGGTATGAAGTCCGGGGAAGCATCATGATGTTTGAGCCCAAAACCCTAACCCTAAACCCTAAACCCTAAACCCTAAACCCTAAACCCTAAACCCTAAACCCTAAACCCTAAACCCTAAACCCTAACCCTAAACCCTAAACCCTAAACCCTGAACCCTAAAGCCTGAACCCTAAACCCCCTTTAAACAAAAACAAGAACCTGCTTTGAAAGCCCTCCAGGAATGAAGAAGGTGGGTTGCCTCCGGTGGGAAGAAGGTCCCGAGGATGATCACAGACGAGAGGATCAGCTGCACCTCAGGTATCGGTTCAAGGTCCCGGTTTAGGGTTTAGGGTTTAGGGAGAACATCGGTTTGAAAATAGCTGCTTTTTTGGGATCTAGGTGTCGCATCTACTGTGCGGGTATACCTACCCTATCAGAAGGTCCCAGGCACAACCCATCCACGTGAGCTTCGCAGCACCATTAAGCATCAAACTACCGTTGGGCCTAACCTACCTGTGAGCATCCTGACATTGCAAGCAAGAACCCTCAGTAATTAAGTGGAAAGGTTGAGGTTGCAGGAATCTGACCCATGTTCTGGGGCTGTGCGTCTAATTTGTTGGCCCAGCTGAGTGCCGTTAAGATGATGTGTCGACCAATCGCTCAGGGCATCGATTGCCTCAATACCCCGAACGCCCAACCAGACCCGATAGAAACCACACGCGCTTGCACTCGAGAGGCGACGTACACCACGTTGCTGAAGACTAGCCAGATTGCCGCGTAGTCTTTCACCTGTTTCATTTGTAGGGTTTTTCGTCGGTGGTTCAAAGGTGAGAGTGGTGCCCCTGATAAACAAAATCGACCGCCTCTACTGGGGTCTTGGAACCCTAAGCCCCAAATTGCCCCAAACCCCAAAATCAAAAAGTCGAAGCAACTTGGGCTTCATCTAATCCTAATGCATGGCCTCCAACACTCTGGGGTGCGGATTTGGGGTTTGTGGATGCTAAGGCCGCGCTGAGCCTAAAAAAAAAAAACACACACACACAAAAGCAACCCAACACCCAAAACACACAACACAGACACACACACACACACACGCACGCACGCACGCACGCACGCACGCACGCACGCACGCACGCACGCACGCACGCACGCACGCACGCACGCACGCACGCACGCACGCACGCACACAAAACAAAAACAAAAACACCTAGGATCTGGGTCCAAGGCGGTGGCGGCGATCATGTGAAAGCGCTCGAAGGCTCCTAGCAGACGCGCGGGTTGGGCCATATACCCTTCCCTAGTTGCTGAAATCCCGCCCCTTAAAGGGAGCCCCAGAGAGGGATACCCCTATTTTCGGAAAACCCATTTAGGGTAATATAGCCCGTCCCCGTCCCAGGAACACAGGCTACCAGGCACCCCCATGCTGCGTCCTCGTACTGCTGACGTCCAGTCTGCCTCGAAGACCTCAAGCGGTGGGTACTGTATGGACCTTAACCTGGGACTCTATTTTCCTACATTTTAGTACCCTGAATTCGTAGGGCATAACCAAGAAAAGCTGTAGGTAAAGAGGCCCCCAGGAAATGCCTCTGTTTCACACCCGCCCTGAACCTCACCAAGCTCTTCCCTCAGAGGCCCTCTGCCCAATACATCCGACACCAGAAGCCTCGCCAGCACCACTGCGGCCAGTGAGCAACTGCCAAGGTGGGTTGGAAATTCCAGGGGACGTCTGGGCTTATTCGGGGGTCACGAGCTCTAGTTTAGCTTTCTTCGGCCACCTGCACACATTTGAAGCCAAAAACTCTCATCTTAGGGCTTCGGGACCTACGCTCCCTGCAGGGTTGGTTAATTGAAGCTGTCAGAGGGCGGCGCCAGTGGAAGTGCAGCGAGAAACCAAAAGGACTTCGGCCCAGGTATGCAAGACGTGTGATCCCAGGCTCTACTTGGAGGTTCAAGGTGCACTTCGGAGCCCCCTAAGTCCTCTAAGTAGGGCACAAGTAGACTTATAACTGGGGCTCGAAGTACCCATGAATCCCATGACTCCAAGGGGCACCTGACTGTCACCAGGACGCAGTGTTGGCCCGAAATAAAGCCTGGCCCCAAGCCCTATGCAAACTTCGTGCGGCAGAGGAACCTTTCCTAACATCTCCGCAAACCCTAAACCCTAAACCCATGCTCTGCTCCAGAAAGCCGGGAAGCTTACAGCTCTAAAACTTCCCGCCCTTAACTTGCCTGCCACGTCATTTTTGCATCATCCTCGCGTACAGAAGGCGAGGAACCCGGAAGGCTCACACGGTTCAGGGCTCAGGGCTTTGAAGGAAAGGGTAGAGTGCTCGAAGGCCCCATGAATTCGCGATTCTCTGTGCTAGTCGGACTGATAACCAAGGTTGCTTTCTGCGGCTTCATGGCTCACAATGCCCATCCCTCTCTGTGGATGTCACCCTAGCCCGAATCTTGCTCAAGGGTGGAACACACACCCCCCCCCCCCCTCCCCCTCCCCCCCCCCCTCCCCCTCCCCCCCCCCCCCCATCCCCCCCTCCCCCCCCACCCCCTCCCCCCCCTCCCCCCCACTCCGTCGGCATGATGCAGTTGATGTCCAGGAAGGACAGGCCCTTGCCCGGCCCGGGCGACCTTAGCATCAGCTTCGGCTTGCACCAGCGATAGTGTCCAGACAGAGCTTGCAGCTGAGCTGTGGCGTCGAGAATGAGGACTAGTTGATGCACAAGGGCGAATCCCAGTGTCATGGAAAAGGTAAAGCGTGCACTGATGTCCACAGGAGATGCCAACTGCTCAACAGACTATGCTGATCGGCTTGCAATACAAGCCTGCCCTGAATGAAGCGCATCATCACCTCCATACACAACTTTGTGTACTTTCTGAGTGTGCCCCATGCACTACACCGAAAAGCCCTGGATTGGATTCTGGAAGTGTGGCTGGAGAAGCAGGATCGACGTGTGGCTCGCACCCCTGAATCCCCCTTCTGATCCCCCTTCTGAGATCAATCTTCACTCGCATCTGCCGGGCAAATGATCAGACGATCAAACCGAACCACCAAGACCAAGAAACTTCTCGGTTGTCATCCGGGATGCGAAGGGATCGCTGCCTGCGACACCAAGCCCCTACGTCTGCCTGCTGGCACATTGTGCCGTGATGCAAAGTGGGTCTTCGAAACCGAAAAGGAAAGCACTGCAACATTCGGGCTGGATGCATATAAACCCTATAAACCCTATAAAAAAGTATAAACCCTATAAACCTTATAAACCCTCTAAACCCTGAACCCTAAATTAGCAATCGCTGAGTCTCCAGGACACCTCCACCTGTGTGCACCAAGGTGCCATGCAAAGTGAAGTCCCACGTTCGAACTCCCAGAAACTCGATATTCCCTAAACCCTAAAACCCTTTTACATCCAGGCCTCTGAAGCCTAAAACCCTAAAACCCTAAACCCTAAACCCTAAACCCTCTCTCCTAAAACTAAACCCTAAACCCTAAACCCTGATACCGACCTTCGACTGTCCTGCTACGTGAGGTAGGTGAGAAGCTGCGTGAAAAGAATCGCAGTCGCGCCCTCAGGCCTTCGAGTGTCAAGGTGTCCGACATCATGTCATCCACCACCGGCTCCGGCTGTCCGACCTCTGAAGCATGAGAGTTGCAGGATCTCCAGCTAAACCCCCCCGCACCTAAACCCTTTTGAGGATCATGTACCCGCATGTCACCCGAACCTCATAGACTTCGCACTTGAACGGATATTGTTAGTTGAGTGCTCATTAGTGTATCAAGCAGGACCGTGTTTCAACCGAGCAGAGGCCCGCACAAGCTTGGCAAAGACCCGGCGAGCCGCATCGTCGATGTCCGCAAACTTGCCCTCCATGCGCATGAAGAACCTTATAACTTGGCTGCACTTAGGAGGGTAGTAAAAAACTAAACTTTTACCTGCCATATTACGAAACCCAATAAACCCAAAAAGGCTAAAGATCTAAAGTTACAGTAAAGCACCACCAAGATAAGTAGGGGATAGGACTCGGGGAACCCTTGGGGATATAGACCCTCTGAATAAGGGTTCCCTTTTAAGGGCCCCCCTTATCCTACCTAGGATTACGGCCCTTCGTTGCAGCTGGGACGGTCGACTCTCACTCATGTACACTTGTGCTCCTAACCCTGAAAGCCTTTCCAAGAGAAACAAGGTTTAGGGTTTAGGGGTTTAGGGTTAGCTTGAAAACAGCAGGGTGGGCAATAGCCGCCTTAAGCCACAGCTCACTGGAAACATCCTCCCAAGCGGCATCGTTGTGGACGAGTTCTGCAGCGTGCGAAAGAGTTCTGGGGAGCGGCTGACCTTGACCAGCCAGGCCTCGGGAATCGCAGTCTTTCGGATTTCCGGGTTTCAGGGATCCTGACAGATTCTCTGCTAAGAGGGTGTTTTTTGGCCACCCGCACTGCCCACGCTCCGCAGGAAATCGTGGGATTCACTGATCTAGCCACCAAGGTTCCCAGTCGACAATTCCCCAAAAGCAAAACCACATAAGCCAGAGCCTCATCTGGGATCCAGTCAGGCCAGCAGACTCAAAATTCTGAAACAATGCGCAGGGATGTGGTTTATGAATTATCCACAGGGAGGGCTGCAGGGCCCGAAGGGCGTTCCATTGACATCTTATCTGGGGGGATAGCTTCGCACCACTGATCTCTCGAAACAGCAGCACCAGCAAGACATTGTATTACAACTCAAGTGTACACTTCGCCCAGGATTGTGAAGAGCAGCTCTCAATAGAAAACGCAAGGAAACCAAGCAAGACACCCAACATAGATCCAAACAGTAGGACTACGCAATGGTTGGGCCCGCTCTCTTGTTCAACCGATGCCCATCGAAATGTGAATTATGAATTGGTGGGGGCCTCAAGAAACCCCATCAAGCGGAACCACCGCACCCAGACATAGACCCTAGACTGCGAGTCCGCGCAATCAGAATCATTACAAGGAAAATGCACAAATCGTGGCTTTGCGTCTTGCAGAGTGCACTGCACCTGGCACATGAATATGAAACAGCAGGGGCATGTGTACCTTAGGCGTAGAATCAATGAAGCCAAGAAGCCTACACCCAAGTGCTGAACTATTCTGGCAGTTTCTTGCTCCGTGCTGACAGCGCGGTGCGAAATTATGTAATTTGGTATGGAGCGCCTAGCGGCATCAAGACGCCCAACGGCAGATCCAAACGATGCAACAAGTTTCACCGCTCTATGGAAAATTGCACTGGCGTGAGCATCTACGCCCCAGAAACAATGGGCCAAGCCAGATGCTCTACAGGTTAATTACAGGCTTAGGGCTTAGCGTGTCGGGGCTCAACGGGGTTAATCTGTTTAAGGCGTGGTTCTCTTACAAGACAGCACCCAGTTGAAAGAACCACGTGGTGCCCGCCAGCTATCAGCCCGTCGGCAGGCACAGTACTTCCTGAGGCCTCTTCAGGAACCCGGCTATCCAAACAACCTGCTCAACCCACCTGGCATCGGCCAAAAGCAACCGGCAGAAATCATTGAGCGGGTGGGGCTTGGCATCACGGCTGACTTTTCTCATCGCGATGTTTCCGGTACCATTCCACCGCCTCGAGCCAAGCCTTCTTCACCTCGCCCTCCGAGCCATCTTTGGGCCGGAATCTCATGGTGCGCCGAACTCCCTGGAATCTCCCATCAGCATACCAACATTGCTCATTGACCCTCCAGATGATTCCTTTCTGTGATCCCAAAGGTGCGAAGCGAGGCAGCTCCGAGAGCTTCTGCACAGGCACGACACACCTCTCAGCTGGAAGCCCCATTTTCTTGGCCATTTCCCGGGCCCTGTCTTCGGCCTCATCTTGGTGCTTGAAAAAGCCACCATTTAAGCGCACCCCCAGGGATGGATCCATGGGCCGGACCCTCCAGGAACTGTTCTTCTCGTCGTATGAGACTCCCCTCAGTAGGCTCTGGGGAGCCTTGCTCGAGCTGGGCTTTGATGGCTCCATCTTGCCCTGGCACACCAGCTCCTCGCGATATGCCTTGGCCTTTTGCAAGGCAGCCTCGACGGCCTCCTCCTCTGTGAGGCCTTGCTTCAGGAGCTGTGCAATGGGAAAAGCAGTTTGCCGCTGCTTGCCAGCTTCCTGTCGGGAGACTGTCCAGCCTGAATTTCTGTTGCTCCAAGAGATTCCTTGGATGCCGCTCTGGCGCTCCAGTCGTCCCTTGAAAGCGCCTGCGTTCTTTGCGTTCTTGGCACGGCGTGTGGCCGAGTCGGTACTCTGCGCTTCAGGGGCGGATGGACCATCCTCTGCCCTCAGCAGCAGCTCACCGACTGCCTGCTTGATGCCAACCCAAGCCTGTCCAGCGGCCGCACCTTGAATCTCTCCGACATTGTCCTCAAACTTGCTGATCTTGCCTTGGACATACTCCAACACGTGCTCAATGGCCTGGCAATCGAACCGCCTCAATCGCCATGTTCGCAACGCTTCAAGCAACAGCGACCGCAGTCGTCGCTGCATGCCGACGAGCTGACGATCCTTCTGGCAGTCAGGCACCTCTGCGCCTTCAGAATCGACTCCTTCGGGTTCAGCTTCTTGTTGCCCCCGCTGTCTGCGAGGGGGCGAGAGCGCTGCAACAACCACGTTGATGGCCTCAGCAAGCTCTGCCTGGTCGAGGCTCCTTCGTGAACGCTTTGCGATGGCCTCCACCTGCTCAAGTCGCTCCAGCCGCTGGGCTTCATCTAAGAACCCCCACTCGTTCATCTTGCTGAAGAGCTGCAAACGTTGATCGTGCGCAGGAGGCGCAGTGTCAGCCTGTACGTGAATAATGGCATTGTCATCACCGGCATCACTGGCGTCAGTGTCATCGAAAGCGTGGTCGTGTAGTACATCCGCCGGGTCATTGTCCGACATGTCCGACTCCACAACTATATCTTGCGCGGCTTCCTTGCTCACCCTTGCGGCGCACGCTTCCTCCATCGGACGACAGCAGCAGCGGAACTTCTGGAGGCTCCTTCGGAGCTCTTGTTCTGCCCGCTTCCAACCCTCGTCGACCCCATCTGATGGCCGGGGACTGGACCGAAGCGCTTCCTGCGCGATTGGCAGGACCTCCCTCAAGCGAGAAGGTAGGGGGCCGCCCCCCAGTTTCCCCATGAACTTCGTCAGGAGCTCGAGCTCGTCGGCCCCTGGAACCTTGCCCTTTGGGCCATAGGCAATCCAGGCCGCCACATGGGCGGCGTGCTTGCGCAGGTCCGCCTTTCCGAACTCCTCGGCTTTGGCGGAATACTTGCTGATCACCGTCGACTTGTGGGCAAGGCGGTGGTACTTGCCAGCATGCCGACGCAAGCGCTGGCTCTGGGACATGGCGTCCGAAGCTACAAGCTTGGTCATTGTCTGAAGTGCTTACTTGCAGAGCTGCTCGTTGTCTGTTTTCTGGCCCTTGGGGAATGAAATAAACCCTATAGCGGATCTAAGCAGGATTAGGATCCATGATGCCTTAGGGAGGATAGTCTGGTCTGGCCTGAACTTCCCATGGTTATGAAAGCCACCTCGGCAAGCCACAGCCGAAGGGCTACAGGGATGCTCGGAGGGTCAACACATCAACGTTCGAGAAGGCGCTTGGGTCCTCTGAGCATCGCGCGGCTGGAGCTTGCGCTCGCAGCACATTGGAGGTGGATTGAAGGCGGGAGACGGTGACTTTCTGCCCTGCCAGTTTGAGGGATTGGTCATCACACAACGCCACGATGGACGAGGTAAGCACGAGGCTTGTATGGGTGACCTAGTTGGATCCCCCATTTGCGAATTCGGGCTGCCTTTGCCGTAAGCCTTCCGAAGGTGCTCGGCTGTCAGCTTCTCAAACGCGTGCGGGTCCTGCAAACTGGAAAGGGTGCTGGGGCTCTACTCAGCTAGGATGGCCCTCAGGGCTCTCTGAAAAATAGTCCTAAACATGATCCTCTTAAACCCAAGAAGGGAAAATATAGAACATGTCCCAAAGGCCTACCTAGTCAGGATGTGTTGAAGCCGAATGCCCAACCCCCTCTCTGACCTCATACCCCCTAAACCCTAATTCCCTAAACCCTAAACCCTATCCCTTAACCTAAATCATTTCGAAGAGCAGTCAGATTTGGGAACAACCTTAAACCTTAAAGCTCGCTAAGCCCCCGTCTAAACCCCCCCAGCCCCCCAGAAGCAAACAGTTAAGGCCCCCAGATCCCTACAGGCTTAAACTTCAACCCCCCCCCCCCCAGCCCCCCAGAAGCAAACAGTTAGGCCCCCAGATCCGTACAGGCTTAAACTTCACCCCCCCCCCCCCCCAGCCCCCCAGAAGCAAACAGTTAAGGCCAGGCCTCAACCCTAAACCCTAAGCTCTAAGCCCTACGCCCTAAACCCTAAACCCTAACCCCTAAACCCTAACCCTAAACCCAGCCCTCCAACTTCTCCTGCAGCAGCGGGAGCACGGGGGTCTTCTGAAGCGTCCAGAGCAGTTGATTCGGCTGCTCCTGGCTCGCAAGGCGTAAGCTGCAAGCAGCTCATGGACAGAGCTTGCTGATGTGGTTTAGGGTTTAGGGTTTAGGGTTTAGGGTTTAGGGTTTAGGGTTTAGGGTTTAGGGTTTAGGGTGGTCCTCGAGACAGGCGAAGTCTGCGACACGTTCCAAAGCAGCCAGCTCGAAGGCATTCACCTGGTGTTCAAAGACACGTTGTCGTCAGCTAGGTCAGGAGTCAGAACGTTTACAAGCCATGCCCTAACTTCGCCCTCCCTGAGATAGGCCCAAGCCCGGTTAGACCTTACACAGGGACCCATGTGAGTAGTTTCCTAAATTAGGGTCCTTTTTGGGTACCCATTATAAGGCGGCACCATTTAACAAGGGATTCTCAAAAGGGGACCCTAATTTAGAGAACTATTCATGGTACTTCAAGGGCTGTGCAGCTCGAGAGCCAGGACGTCGGATTCGAAGTTCAGGGCCAACTTACTCCGCAAGAAGGAGAACTCCAAGATCTTCTTGAGAGCGTTGCCTCACTGATTTGGTTTTTTAGGGTTGAGGCTTGGGGGTTGTTGCCCTAATTAGGGTTGAAAGGGTTTCTCGGGTTGAGCGTTTGAGGGCTTGAGGTTTTCGAGTTTTTCGGGAAGCTCCTCTCTTTTTTGAGCTTCCAGACCTCCAACCGCCTTTATTTTTCGGGGGGGATATGGGGGTGTATATGCACAGGGCTCAAAGGGCTTGGAAGGGTTTATGGCAAGTTTACGGCAGTTCACTTGTTCAGTTTCCTGGGCGAGAGCAAATCAGCCTTTTTCGTGACCCAGGACTGAGTCCCCGGCCTGACTGCGTTTTAAGGTTCTAAGCCCTAAACCCTAAACCCTAAACCCTAACCCTATAAACCCTAAGCCCTATAGACTGACTATAGACCCTAAACCCTGGGCTGGAGGCGATTGGGGTTGGCTCAGGGTTCTGCAAGAGGCCGTTACCCCATCTTGCACAAACAACAACACACAGCGTGTGTGAAAAAGTCCCTTTAGAAGGTTGACTGTGGAGATTCTAGGGCCTAATAGCACATCCTGCTCAGCTGTTTGAACCACAGCTCCAGGTGTGTTTATGACGAGCTTCGCAGTCCAGAGCACCGGCAGCCAAGGCACAGAACAAGAGGAGAAGAATGCAAACGCATGGCCTTGCCAGCAAAATCCGGGTCTCCTTTGCCAGTGCATCAAGCAAGGGGTTCGGCTTAACCCTAAACCCTTTTGAACCCAGGCTGACTGTGACTTGCTGGGAAGGAGCGCACGCATGCCCTTATTGAACTAACTCTCGACAATCAACATGCTTGGGCTTCGGGCTCCCATTGCTCACGTCCTGCGGCGGACTCCACCACGAGAAGTTCACTGCCCAAGCGCAGATCACCGAGCAGGCCGCTCGCTCCTCCTTAAACAGGATGCCGTTCCTGGGCTCATATTGGTATATTTATTGTAGTCTGATGATATTAATATGAATACACAGTTGTAATAGTGTGATTGAAAAAGGGATGTTGCCGTCTTCGTATATTGGGATGCAGTGAGCGTTTGGCAATTGGGGGGCTTCTAGGGCTCAGGTCACAATCTTATGAGGGCTTATGACGCAAGAACTTGAGGTCTACCGTAAACCATGCGAGGAGCAGGTACAGTACCATCTCCGCTTTTCGAAGGCCACGACGCCGAGCCAAGCGCAAAGCCATCATGGTCAAGACTTGGAACAAGAAGCCAAGGATGAGGTAGCCTGGTGCATTCTGTATATGATGTGTCTATGGAATCACGATGTAAAAAAGCCTACAGCCACATGTATGCATACATAGAGGTATGCAGACAATAATATCATTCTTAATCGGGGTAGTTGGGCTGGTCTAACAAGCAAGCGGCACCACCCGTGGACGTTTGTGAGTGCATATGACCCGACGCAAGTGAATTGCAGGCGTAGGCGTAGCCTTTGCAGCTAAGATGTCTGCAACTCAATGCAGCTCAGTCGCTGAGGCTCGCAGCAGAAGCATGGGTCAGAAGAGTTCGTGCCTGCCTTTGCTAGGAGCAGAGTGGAATCAATGCTCGCGTCGATGCGAGTCGTGCCCCCCAAAGAGCAGCGCCAGAAACGCCCTGTCGCATCCTTTTGCATCAACAAGTCGAACTCCCTGGTCCCTAGCCCTTCTAAGGCCCGGTCCTCCCCGCAAAAACTTCCCCACAAGGCAAGCTGCTCGTGCGGTGTTTGGTGGTGAAGAAGCCCGTGCTTGTTCTTCTTTGGCTCCGCTGTCAGCGTGAAGAGCTGGGCGCTTGCTTGAGAAAGCTTCGGTGCCGTAAGCAAGGCGGGCGATTAAGAGTACGAGCTTGGGCTGGGAGTACGTGTGTCGCGTTCGACAAGCAGAAACTCTATCTCTCTACTCCCTTTCCCAATAAAGCCGTGACAAGCTCTATGAGACCGACATGACCGGGCTCCATCCGCTGATGACTACAGTATTCCTGCTACGACGGGGAATCTTCGCGTTCATAGCACAGCACTTGGAAACATGGCCTGTTGACATGACCCGGCCCGACGGAGGATGTGGGACTTAGGCTTCGAAACCCATAAGATCTACCCCCCTCATCGGCCCTGACACAATGTCGTTTGAAACGCCCTGGAGACACGATTGACACTCAATGTTGTAATTAGCTAATTACTGTGTTGCTGTGGCCATCGTTGTTTTAGGACGCCATTCCTTCTCGCTATCAGCGGAAAAGTATTCTTATTCAAGATTAGGCTTGGATATTCTTACCATTAACACTAAACCCTAAACCCTAAACCAGAAACACTAAAACCTGAGCCCTAGCGTGAGTCTCAAGGTCTGCCCTTGGAAGGTTCACATCGAGTCCCTAGAACGCCTGGTATCCAAACCTTCACCTCCAAATAGCGAACCTGTCGCTCAAGCACGGGTTTAGGGTTTAGGGTTCAGGGTTCAGGGTTTAGGGTTTAAGGCTTAGGGCTTAGAAGGGGGGTTTAGGGTTTGGGGTTTAGGGCCAGTTTAAGGTTCGGGATTCAACCGTTTAGGGACTGAAGGCAGCCGAGCCACGAGGAAAGGACCAAGCAAAACCAGGGTCTTGAAAATCCTGCGAAAGTTAAAGTGCCGTGCATTGTTCGACTTCCCTCCTTTTGGCACGGTTCTTTCTTTGATCTACGGCTTTTCATTTTCTTGAGCGTCTTGCGGTTTGCGGCACCGTCAAACATGGCAATCAGTCGGCGTCGAGGCCAGAGTCGCGGCTAAACGTCCCCCCCCCCTCTAGCAGCAGCTCCCCCATTCTCTTCTTCTTCTTCTTCTTCTTCTTCTTCTTCTTCTTCTTCTTCTTCTGCGCTTTGAGCCCCCCCACTGTAGAACTCTTCCTTCCTTCTTTCTTTCCTTCCTTCCTGGGCATATGGGCGCCCCCCATACGTCAAGCCCATCTGCTGGTGGAGTCTTCTTCTTCTTCTCCACGCTTGAGAGGACCCCCCGGAAGGAGCCGCGACGGCCAAGCGGTCCACTGGTCCACTGGTCCACTGTCGGGTCTCGGGCCCCCCTTTGGTGGAGTTTCCCTCTCTCTCCTCCTCCTCCTCCTCCTCCTCTTCTTCTTCTTCCTCCTTATGTTGGGCATGAAGGAGCCCCTTCGCGCGAGCGCGCCGGAGTGCTTGGTCCAAGTGAGACTTCAAACTCGGGTATCCCTGACTTATTCGCGAGGTTGTTTCCCCGAGCGTGATACCGTCTGTGGGTGTTGCTGATAAATGGCTAAAGGTAACTAAGGCTGTGACTAAGGCCGGTACCCCCAAAAGTTTCCCTCCCACAAAGTTTCACCGTTACACGTCATGTCTTTTTGTCGGGTGATTTAGGCTTCAATGGACACGAACAGCCCAACACTCATCAATCTGAAAACACAGCGAACCTCCCGAAATCCTCCCCAACTCTCCTGGGGTGCTAGGTTTTGACGTCCCTATTGGACTCTTCCTTTGGAGAAAAAACATGCACCGTTTCAATGACAGTGGTCATTCCAGAGACCTAGATGTCCCAGTATCCCGAGGTTTGGGCAATCGTGGGTTGCCAGGTTCAGGGTTTAGGGATAAAGGTTTGAGCAATTTAGGGTCTCGGGATGCTTCCGCTTTAAGCCGAAGTCCTCCATGGTCGGATGGCTGCCTGGGCGGCTGCTTGCACGCCGTCCCAGGACAGGTCATCATCAATGTGCTCTAGATACTCGAACCTCAGCCCAAGCTCATCAGGGTGTCATGAGGGCCTTGGGGATTTGGGTGGGAGTTTCTGGCGTACGTGGCAAAACAGGAGCACAGCAAACTGACAATGGCCGAAACGCAACATGTTTGGGGACCAGATGAACCTGAAAAAGTGGGGCAGAGACCCATCTACGACTGTATTTCCCTCTTAAGGTATATGAATCCGAAACCGTTATTTGGGGGGTTAATTTTAACCCTAAACCCAAACCCTAAACCCTAAACCCTGAAGGCTGCTTCAGGCCCCGGGACATGGACGCCACTCTCTGCGCCTCCTCGAAATCTCGCCTGGGGTCCGGGTCCCAAGCTTTGATGGGTTTATAGGGTTTATAGGGTTTATAGGGTTTATAGGGTTGATAGGGTTGATAGGGTTGATAGGGTTTAGGCTGGGGGTCTAGAAAATTCAGGGTTTCGTCCGGTCTCGAGGGTTCAGGCTTGGGGTTCAGAAATCTGGTGCCGGATAGTAGGGGAAGCCGGGGCGTCGGGTTTAGATGAGGAGGTGGGAGGTCTTTCAGTGTGTTCTCTCGCAGCTCGCGCCTGGAGGCATATTATGGCGTCCCTGGACTATCTCTTGCCTGCAAAGCTCACCCATCGCTGAGGCGACATGTTGTGCCTACACACCTACAAGTATCGGTATGTAGCCCGAAACCCTAAACCCTAAACCCTAAAAGTGGCGTGGCAGCGGCCGAAGCACCTGATCTGCTGCCGAGGCTGGACGTACTGCGACGCTCGGATGCCTCCTGCCGGGCAGATGGCATCAAGGCCTACATCTTCTGAAAGCCATGCCAAGAACTGCACCCCTAAACCCTAAACCCTAAACCCTAAACCCTAAACCCTAAACCCTAAACCCTAAACCCTAAACCCTAAACCCTAAACCCAAACACTGGGGCATGAGCTCATGATGTTGGGCTGGCTGAACACTGTTTCACCGAGGTGTGGCTCTCAACTGTTCAAGGCTCTTGCCATCAAGATGTGTAGTAGTCCATGGACATTCGACCAGAGCGGAAAATGTCGAAGAACGTGCTGACCCTCAAATCCAGTCCTCATGATTGATCAAGCCCTGGCATTGCTGCACTTCTGATGTGGCTAAGAATCTGACCCTGACACCCCGCAAAATGCAGTTTGGCCTGCAGGAATGTGCAGCTGAAGTTAAGGTTTTGGTTTAGGGCTCGTCCGAGTTACGGGTCTTGCTTCAAGAGGCTTTCTCGGTCCTTGTACCCCTGGCTTGCCATTGCTCCAGGTATGCTCCGCCCAGGCATCTGCCAAAGTCTTGTTCCGGAGCGGGGAATATGGCCCGCTCTCAAGATCTGCGGGCTTTGAGTTCCAGCAGCCCATGGTTCAAAGGTGCTCAAAGGGCACATGGCTCGCTGGGCAGGGCAGCCTTCAAAGGGTGTGCTGCGTGCGTGAAGTTGGAAGTCGCTGGTGTTTTGGTCGAAGACTACGGTAGGAAGCGGCGCAGGTGAACTGTGGGGGCTTTCTTTTTTGCGGACGATTATACTGCATGTGTTTCACTGTTGAACTTTTGGATCGATGCGCTGGATCCATTGACCACAATGAAAGGCCATGTGCCAATGCTCTGACAGGGTCGGCTGCGGCCAGAACGGCTGCGTGAACTTGGAATCGGACTCCGCGCACGTTGATCCCATGCTTCCCGGATTGAGTTTAGGTGGGCTAAGGTCCCCAGGGCCCACCCTCAAAAGTGCAGATCCTAAGCCACAAACTCCTCAAACCCCGCAAACCCCTTTTGCTGCCGGGCTACACCCCTAAACCCGCAAAAACCCGTAAACTCCCCAAACTCCCTAAACCCCAGAGGACTCAGAAAGCTAGCACTTCTGTGGCGATCGCGAGGCGTCCACGAGGAGACCTTCGCCTCGGCCTAGGCACCACAGCAAAGAAGCTCGGCCTACTAGGCCGCGTAAGAAAGGTTTAGGGTTTAGGGTTTAGGGTTAAATTTAGGGTTTAGGGTTTAGGGTTTAGGGTTTAGGGTTTAAGAGAATAATATCAACAAGAAGAAGAACAAGAACAGTAAACAAACAACATGAAGAATAACGTTCCTAGTTCATTATCATAACGATAATACGATTCTGAGTTATGTATGTGTATATTGAATAAATATGAGCTCCCGACTGGCCTGAGAGGATACAGTGCGAAGTCCGGCTACGCATTGGCTTTGCGTGTTGCAGCGTTGCTTGACAGAAGGCATGCCTGGACTGCCTTATCACTTTCAACCACCACCTGGGCCCACAATCTTATGGGTTATACCTACTAATTAAGGGTAGTTACACCCTAAACCCTAAACCCTAAATACCCTACACCCGAAACCCTAAACCTACTAAACTGTAGGTAAATGGAGTCCTTGGTAAACCACCCAGGAAGTATAAGAGCCCGTCGACGCGGCAGTCTGCGGATCGCAGCCCGCATGGGATGGGCTTGCATTGACTCTTGGAATCCCTGAGCTTCAGTTCTTTTTGGGGATCAAATGAACCCTAGAATTGGGGTCATATACCCTGACTACTATATTTCCGATAAAAGGTATATGAAATATGAACCCTTTTGAGGTTCCTTTAATCCCCAAGGCTGGCCGACCTAAAATCAGGGGACCTGAACAGCTGTTGCAGCAAGGATGGTGTTGGACTCAGCCGAAGACCGGGCTGTGTCCGTGATGCCCATGACCTCACAACACCCCACCGCGGCTGGCTTTCTGCTTACCCGGAGATTGACATGCTGAAAGGGGGGGGGGGGGGGTTGCGATATTAGGGGTACCTTATTTAGGGTCCTTATTACAAAGGGATCCTACTACTTGGGGATCAAGATTCGGGGCCCATATTCTTGTCAACCCCCGCATTGCTCTGAATCCGGGAACCTGGCCGCCATGTTCGTGGTGGTCATGCTCAGGTCCATGAACCCCTGCAACGTCAGGGGTGCGTCTGAGTCTTCGTCACTCCCCGCAACCTCAGGTTCCTTTCGGGGAAATATTCCATGTCTTGGCAGGACACTGGAACATGCGAAAGAAACAGCAACCCGGAAGACCAAAACGATCTCTCCCGGCAAGACTGCCTTCATGCTCATGCTCCGAGTGGTGCTCTGATCCTGGCCGCTGGATGGGCCTTCCAAACCCTGGGGGCCTGCCGCCCGACGATGACGGGACCCTACTGAAACCCCAACGAAACACCTTGGATTCGTTTGATTTTGATACTTCAACCAGTCTCTGCGTGGCGCTTACGCCGCTCCCGGGACGGGAGTCCTTTCAATCGGTAGACCTCGCAGGACAGAAGTGTACTAAAGTGTACCACCTTGACAATACCTGCATCAACCCCAACTGCCGAAGGATAGACCCCCGAATCCTGAACCCGAAATACCAAATTTGCCTCCAGACCTTCAGGCCTTCAACGCTTCGGTGTGTGCGGGGTGCTGTTGCTTTGAAGGCACCGGGGTTCAGGCCTTCAGAAACTCCAGAATTCTAAACCCTAAACCGCTAAACCGCTAAACCGCTAAACCCTAAACCCTAAACCCTTTTTTTGACTCCAGGCTCAGCCGGATCCGAACTTACTGGCAATCTGCAAACCCTAAACCCTAAACCCTAAACCTTAAACCCCAAGCCCTTCCAGAAGTCCTCACCAAGAAGCGCCCTCATTGGAAGCTGAAACCCTCCAACCAATCGCTGCAGCATCTGAAGCCTCCATGGTGTGACTCGTGGTCGTGGCTTGCCTGCTCTCGTTTGCGGGTTTAGGGTATTAGAGTTTAGGGGTTCTAAGGGTTAAAAGGGTTGAAAAGGGCTTAGAGTTTAAGAGTTCAGGGTTTTAGAGTTTAGGGTTTAGAATTTAGGGTCTAGGGGTTACAAGGGTTAAAAGGGTTTGGGGATTTTGGGGTTTAAAGGGCGTTAGGGATTTTTTGCCACCCGCCTAGCTGACGGAGCGTCGATTTAGGGCTTAGGGTTTAAGTTCCTTTTCCCAGTCTTGGGTTGATCATTCACTGGAACAGGCGGTTAATTGGGTTGAGGGAAATCCCTCCTTCCCCTGGCGCGTCAGCGCGCCCAAACTCCCTCCGTCCCCCTCTCGCCCTCCCTCTCTCTACTTAGACCCAAAAGCAACTCTGGGTCTTAGTCTTCCATCTTACTCTTCTGCACTCCCCTGCCCCTCCGACAGGAAGTGGCAGGAGGTGTCCGCGCGTTGGTCTGTGAACGGCACGACACCGTGTTGGTGTCGGCGCAAGAGGTGGTCCCCTACACGTCCAATGTACTCAAGCGCTGCTCTGCATCTGTTGTTGTAGGCGTCCTGCGTTTCGGAAGTTTTCACTGTAGTTCCTCTGTCCGCGTTCTCGTGCAAAAGCAGCAGCATCTCAGTTTGTCTACTAACTAGGCACGGACACTCCCTGGCTGCAGCTCCAATGGTCTCGTTTCGCCTTGGGCTAAGGTTTATATTCGCAGCTCGCTTATGGCTCAAACCGGCGGCAGGTACGGCCTTGAGCCAAACTCTGTCCCTCCTTCCCTCTCTCTCTCGCCCTCTCCCCCTCTCTCCCGCTTCTCCTCAGCGGAGCCGCTTTCCCGCGCAAGGCTCCTGGGGCAAGGGAGTCGGGCCGGGCGTCAGTTTATGCATGGGTTTGTGGATTCGGGATTCAAGAACCAGTGACACTGCCCTGCTGAGCACAGCTGAATCCTGCCAGCAAGTCCAAACTCTTTTACTGTTAACACTGGGCTCCCGACAACGCTGTAGCAAGGATGGCCAGCCATTGCAGGCCCCCACGTTTCATTGACCAAGAAGCAATTGTTACCAGTCACCTCCCTTCACCGCAAGCATCCATACACCAGCCATGTAGGGCTATCATGATTACAGATCAAATCTGGGGAAGGGTGCTGAGAACTATCCGATGTACCAGCCCAAAAAGTTGATGGCCCCCTGGTGGTGTAAAACTACGGGTACAAGCTCCCTTTGTGCGTGGAGGCCTTTTTGTGACTGCCACAACAAGAGATCGCATTCTTCGGGGGTTCATCTTTATCTCAAGGCCGCCTAGCACGCCACCTTGAGCCAAGAAAGACATGCGCTGGAGAGCTTAAGAGTTGGCGCATTTTGGGTAGGAACCCGGAACCTCGCCCTCTTAAATCCTTCAAAAGAAGCTATGATCCCCCGAGGCAGCTCCCCTGGCTTGAGGCTCCTCCTTACTTAGGGTCTTTGGGTGCTTAGGTGTCGGACCTGATCAGTACCTGCTAATTGCCGAAGAGCCCCCAAAATCAACATATTCTTCCTTATAATTAAGGGTAATATAGGGATTCTGATTTTGCATTTCTTGGGGGGCACTGAAGCAAATCGTAGGCACCTGTTCTGCAACTCCTCTGTTTTCAGCCGTCCAGGAAGATGAACGACGCCAATCTGCGGGTGCGTGGCAGAGACAGCGGCAGGTGGTCGCACGACCTCATCCTTGTGTACTTAAGGGTTTAGGGTTTAGGGTTCTCAAGCCCCGCTGCCCCTAAATTAAAGCGTCTCGACGTAAATCCTTACCCGGCCAAACAAAGTCCAAGCCCCTACTAGGCCCCTCAACTTCTCCACAAGTCCCCGATTGCCTCGCGAGAATGCCTTAACCCTAAACACTAAAAACCCTAAACTTGGCATGTTCCCCCCTGCAGTCCTTCATGGGGACTTATACTCGGGGTACTACAATCCCTATTAAGGACTGCGCGTATCAGGGGGAACATCCAACCCTAAAACCCTACCTGAACCCTAAACCTAAACCTAGACCCCTGAACCCCGACCTTTGCAGGTTAAATAAACCGAGCTCCGCCGATCAGAAGCATCCCGACGCTCAGTGCAGGAACTGCTGGAAATCCTGGCTCTGAAACTTAAGCTCCGCCTGCCTGTTTAGGGTTTAGGGTTCTGGTTTAGGGTTTAGGGTTATGGTTTCGACTCTCGCACTCACTCAAGCAGGCAAGGGTTTAGGGTTTAGGGCGAGGGTTTAAGGGGGGATGAGAGGGCACCCTGCCCAGAAGACTCCCAAGAGCCCACCTGTCTGCGGGGTACGGAGAAACCATGTTCGCCCAGTAGCCGTATTCCTAAGGTCGGTTCCTTGGGATGTTTCCTGCTTATACCAACAGCTCCTTAAGAGGGCTTACAGTAACCCCCCTACCATAATTTATTATCAAGGACTGCTGGTGTAAAGGGGGAACATCCCAACTGGTTGAAAAAGGGAACCTCGATCCAACCAAAAAGGGCAAAAGGGCACCACTGACCGGGGATGCACTTCATGGTCGAGCCGAGTTTCTTGAGTTGTTGTGTTTTTTGTGCCTTTTGCCTGTCTATGAATACTATATTGTTTTATTTATGTTATTATTATTATTATTTTTTTTGAGAGGGGGGGGGGGGGGTAGGGGCTCGGTTTTGCTCATTCACGTCTTGCCTAGAAGTTAGAGCCGCAGCATGAGCGGAAGCTGAGGCGCTCCCGGGATGGAGGGTTTTGGGTTCCAGTTATATTATCGTACCCCCCCTATTAAAATTTAATAGGGGGGGGGGGGGGGGGGGGTACTATGATCCATTTTAAGCTGCAAAGGAACATCTGAGTCCCTGAACTACGCCAGAAGGTTCAACCTCAAGGAAACCGGTTCGGGCATTGGGATCACACAGGCCATGAAGCATCTGAACAAATAGGTCCTTGCAAATCTTCTCGAAAAGCTCACACTTGCCCTTGCTGTGCTGCAGCGCTTGAACCTCCGAAGTTTCTGAGTTTCGTGGTCAGAAGTAGTAGCGTCTGAGCCGCATGAACTCATGGACATGTTTTTCAGCCATTGGAAGACCCAACAGCACAGCTTCTTCATGGTCGGGAATTTCCGGATTTTTTCAGGACGCCAGCACCCTTTTCGACCCAGACTGGCTCCCTAACCCCCCCCCCCCCCAAACCTCGATCTTGGCCCAACGGAAGTTCGGGTTTGGGGTACTATTGTGCACTATGATGATTGTCTGTTGGGGTACATGAGGGGTATGTAAGAAATGTCCGTATCGAGCCGAGCCTTTATCAGCCGTCGACCGAAACCTATGAAAGGTCGCAGCACGTTGGTGGCAGACTGGCCCATCTTCTTTCGGCTCTTCATGACATGGCCCCATGCCCTCCTAGAACGTGTCAGGGGGGCCCTAAACCCTGACCCCAAACCCTAAACCCCAAACCCTAAACAAACCCTAAGCCATAGGGGCCTGTTTTTTGCTTTACACTTTGTGTGCGTAAGCTGAGCAGTGTTGGAGTCAGAGGCCTTCGCCAGCGCCCTCGCGATCCATATCATCGCACCACCCTTCGTGTCATGTAGGGGCCGTAATCATCAGAATAGGGTTTCGGGTTTAGGGGTTTCGTGTTTAGGGGTTTAGGGGTTTAGGGGTTTAGGGGTTTAGGGGTTTAGGGGTTTAGGGGTTTAGGGGTTCAGGGGTTTAGGGGTTTAGGGGTTTAGGGGTTTAGGGGTTTAGGGTTTAGGGTTTAGGGTACTATCCTTCACTGCTATGTTCTTAAAAGCCCCCCCCCCCCCAAACAAGAAAACACACACACACACACACACAAAATGTTCTTCCTTATCAGGATGCTATACATAGGGATGATTACCCTGTATTTTGGGGGTTCTTAAGCAACTTAGTAGTTCATGTACCCTCGAGGCAGAGGTTGGGCTGGAGGGCCACCTATGGGTTGAAGTACCTGGGAAACTCCGACAGTCGAACTTGAGATCTAAACTCGCAGCGTCTACAGGCCTACGTCGAACCGTCCACCTGCACCAAGCCTGAGAAACGTTTTTGTGAACCAGGGGTTGGCAGTCGCGAAACTCCCGACTGAAACCTCCGAAGTCGACGCGCAGGCCCTTCACTGGCCCTTCACTTTCCTAGGCTCTCAGCGATCTGCTCTGTCCTCTTGAAGCCAATGACAAGACGATAAGCATGAACTAGGGGATTGCAGGGAGCAAGTGAGCACACGAAACCATGTCCCGACCTGCGGTAGGAGCGGGGATTCTGATTCCACATCGGCCGGGATTGAGATCTCTTCCTTTTTGCAAGGCGGTCTCCAAACAGCTCCGACATCTCACACTATCGCTAGGCAACGATCGTGTTTGGTCCCAAAGCCATGTGGAGTCGATCAGGGAAGGACTGGGACTTAGTAACTTAGTATATAATATGGGAGTTGAGCGCTGCGCCCCTGAAAGGATAACATCCATGAATGTATGATGTCATGTGCATGTCCGTTTTTTGTTATATACGTGCTGACGGAAAGGCATCGGAGACCTCCCATCAAGCCTGAGAGCCAAACCCAAGCTTGGGTTCGCTACAAGCAGGTCAATGCCACGCAAGAGGCACAGGATTCCACCATTTCGAACAAAATAATTCGGGAACCAGCTTCTTGGCTTGGCCCAAACCCTAAACCCTAAAACATAAACCCACACAACAAGGGAGGTAAACCCTAGACCCTAAAACATAAACCCACACAACAAGGGAGGCGTAGACGCGCCATTTGGTTGAGAGGCCTGCTGCGGCATCAGGCAGTCCATGTGGCCGGCATCCTTGCTTGTACCAGCCCTCACCTCTTAACTCCCAAAACCCTACACCCCAAGCCGAACCCTCCTAAACTCTTTCGTCAGGGAGTAGGGGCCTCAGGCTGATGCCAGGGCTTGGGGACGGGGGGTTGTGCCGAAGTTTCGCGAAAATGGAGCTCTTGCTTGAGATGCCCTGGGTGGTTTATGGAAGGTCGACGTGGTCCTGGAGGCCGATTTTGAACAGCTTGTAGTGATTCTTGGACTCCAAGCTGGGTACGGAAGACTGACCATATGGGGGGGTTTCCGAAATTAGGGGGTACCTGTTCTAAGGGAATCTTACTAGTTGGGGGCCTATTTTCGGGTCCCCGATTTCGTAAACTCCCATATGCGCAAAAGCGCAGGGACCGAGACTTTCGGACTTTTTCGCCATCACCCGCCCATCTAGCCAAACCCATGCCCCAAAAGCATTAAAACAACTTTGTGAATGCCCTTGAACCCTTTTGTTCTTGGTAGCCTAGTAAGCACATTACAATAAGGGCACCCTTTTTTGGGGTTGGTTACTTTATAAGGGAACCCAGAGACAATAAAAAAAAACAAAGGGTACCACTGCGCTACCAAGTTTTGCCCGCCAAACCCGACACACATCTCCAAACCCTAAACCCTAAACTCAGGGCCCAGGCCGCCCCCCTACGTTGGGGGGCGGCGCTTAAGCCCTTCCACCTCGATGGCGCAAGCCGACCCAGGTCGCTCGCCGCCTCCCACAGCATGGGGTCGGTAGCGCCCACGATGGGCCGTGTACCGGAACACGTTCTCCTCGGGGCCAGTACTGGTCCCTTCTAATAAAGTAATTACCCTAAACCCCCCACAGGCCTAAACCCTAAAAGGAATAGGTTTGGGTGGCTTCGGACGGCGTGGGGTGGGAGAAAAGTATTAGATGGCCCTCCACAATCGGGCCAAAGCTGCTCTTCGCACCTCACGAAGCTTTCGAGCCTGTTCCGAAACCTAACCTTCACAGCACCTACGCCCTATCACAGCAAACCCTAAACCCTAAACCCGAAACCCCAAACCGGCCCTTCACCCTCTCATGGCAAAGCTCGACCGTCTCCAGCTGGAAGCCTGCCGATGTAAGGAGCTCCCAGTCCTGGCCATGGCGGGGGGGGGTAGGGGGGGGATTTGGGGGCTTAGGGCTTTAGGTCTTGGGGTACCTTACTGGCGTCCTAATTTAGGGGGATCCTACTATGGGGGTAGAAGGGGGATTTGGGGGTTGACGATATGAGGCCTTTTGGGTTTAGCCTTGCTTTTTTGTGTTTTTGCTTTAGGGCATTTTAGGGGATCCTGCGTCCCCTATTTTCGTAAACCCCCATTTGGGGTTGAGGGGTTCGGGGTTAAGCTTTGGGTTGAGGGGCTTGGGGCTTGTTATCACTAGCGGGTGGTTCGGGGGGGGGGACCCCGGGGGTGGGGGGTTCCGGGAGGGCGGGGGGGGGGGCGGGTGAGAGGAGCGCGGAGTTTAGGCTTTAAGAATTTTAGGGCTGGGGGCGTTTGCTTTGTCTTTTTTGCTCTTGGCGGCTCCGCTGGGGCCAGCTGTTCGAAGGTGATCCCCTTTTGGTCGTAACAAACAGCCGCATCCTAAACCCGTCTTCCACCCCGCTGAAGCTTTAAGACCCTAACCAAAAGCTCCTGGCTGTGCTTGGGCAGTCCAAGGAGGGGAAGATGTGGTTCCGCGGCTTTGGTGTGGCTATCGGGGGAGGATTGAGGAGTCATGCTGAAAGTTCACTGAGCTGTTCGGCTGGGCTCTTTGGCTGGATCTTTTGTTGCTTGAGTCTTTGTTGTTTGCCTGCTTCTTGCATCCGACGCTATCAGCAGGGCTTCGCGCCTGGCAATGCTCCGGCTGGCAGGACTCGTCATGCAAAGGCGACAGGGCCATGATCGGCACCTGGAAATCAGGTCGCACTTAGGAACAGACCCGGAGTGCCTCAAGCCTCGGCTCCCTTCTCTTACTCAGCACTTAGAGGTGGCTTACGCTGGAGCCCCCCCCCCCCCCCACCCACCAAAAAAAAAAAACTCAAACCCCAACAGCATGAGCAGCCCCATGGGAAAAGCTGTTTGCAACCCAAGCTCTTCTCCGAACCCCCCCCCCCCCCTTTTTGCATCCAGGCCTCTCCGAAACCCCCTAAACCCTAAAAAGCTGGGCGCCCCCAGCTGGAGCTGGTCTTTTGCCAGCCATGCTCATCGAGCATGTTGTTTACGCGCGATGTATGGCTCCTCATCTGCACTTGGGGAGCCTCCGGACCCCCAAGACACCCATGCCCCACACACCCTGAAAAACCCCTGAAACCCTCGACAACATTGTGCTTTTTGACTTATCTGATGCAGGCGGCCATCTGTCGCTCAAGCTTTTGGTGGATGGACTTGCGGCCATTTGTTCTGGAAGCCATGGCTTCCAAACCCAAGCCGACACATCCAATCATCCCACGCTTCCGACGGCCGCAATGCAAATCTCAAGCCCTCAACCTTCACACAACAACCTCCCACTGGGACGCACACTGGCATACAGCCGAAGTCCCTGTCTGGATCCGGATACATGGCATCGCGGTACCTAAGCTCGAGGTCATGGCATATCAGCGGGACCTCGCCCTTCCTCCCTGGCCTGTGGACACCGTAAGAGACACGAAGGCAAAAGGACCCTTCTAATGTGCTTCGAAGGCGCTGGGACCGCATGACATGCAGCATGTCAGCCATCATCTTACTGGAGGTGGTCCTGGAAGTTAACTTGGCCATGACTTCGTTGTTTCTTGTTTTTCTTGGAGTGTAGGGGGGGGGGGGGGGGGGGGGGGGGGGGGAAGGGGGTGGGAACGAGCCAGGTGGGGTTGGGACTTGTCGGTTCAGGGGCCAAACCAGGAAAGTTATATCTCAAGAAGGACACTCCGCAATCGCCCTGAAGTCTTGACAGCCCCATCTAGGTAATAAGTCAAGCTGATTGCTTACCACTTGGAGGCTTTAGTTTGCAAACCAAGCTTCTGCTCTTCAAACTCCCTGGGCGATGTCTCGAAGGCAGTGCGGCGGAGCAGCAAGTTCCCCGGCCTCGGGCTGCACCAAGCAGGTATACAAGAACTGCCAAAGCCTGGGCCTACACCACGCGGGACAACAAGTCACCAAGCCCGAGAAGGTCTGCAGGGCCAATGGATGATGGGAACTCAATGCCTTCATCCTGGGAGCCCTACCGACCCGCGACTAAATGCTGGAATGGTGAACGAGGAGGAGACGTACAGACTCATGCGGAAGGCTTGAGTGTGAACGGGTGCAACATGGTGCAACGTAACTGCCTGCCCAAGGGGCTGAATGCTGGAGAACCACTTCAACAGGTCTCTGTCGCCTGCGACATGGCATCAACTACACAAACTGCAGGGCAGGCGCGCCGTTCACGCTAGCAAGTAAGTCAGCAGCGAATGTCTGCAATTTCAATCACGTACTACGCCTGCTCTGTGAACCCGCTCCTGCTTTGATTGTGGCTGCTTCCCCCTCTCCCGCACCTCCTTCTTTGAATCTCTGGCTCAGGAGCTCCCAGCCAGTGGGCTCGTGAGCCTTCATGGCACCACAAGCTGCGATGTATACCTTCTTCCTCGGATCGAGGAAGAGCTCGAATCTGCATGCGGATGCGTGAGGGCAGATCTTTCAAGGAGCGAGCACAAGGTATCTTACTTCGTCAGGAACTCCTGCGTTGAGCACACGCCCTGAAGCTGACATACATACATACATACATACATACATACATACATACATACATACATACATACATATATATATGCATATGTATATAGATGTGTATATATATATGTATGTATATATATATATATACATCAACTAAACTCGTGTTCCATCCAGCGGATGCATCCTGATGTCCCAAGAGTAAGGGCTTCGGTCGTGCCATGCTAGGCCTCTGCTTGCCTGGCATAAACCCTAAACCCTAAAAGCCCCCCTTATCTTCCGCACAGCGGCACGCGAGTACCCAGACGGTAGGCTACGCAGGTGGCAGGTGCGGCCCCCCTGGAGTGGCCAAACAGAAGCCTCAGCTGGGGTTTCGCGTCTAGTTTTACAAGGCTTCAGGGGTTCTCTCTCTCTCTCTCTCTCTCTCTCTCTCTCTCTGCCGCTGCATCCCAATGGTCCCACCGCGTAGGGGTTAGGGTTTAGGGGTTCTTTGCACCTAGCTGACTGCACAGGCATGACGACAGGACCCTTGTCTTGCCGACGGATCCCAAAGGACTTTCAAGGTTTCGGCTCTCACACTCGCACACAGCGGGCAAGGATTCGGTCCGAAGGTTTAGGGGGTTTAAGGGTTTTTCGGTGTGAGGGCCGGTTTTTAGCTCGGGTTTGTCGGGCCAGTTCTCTAAATTGTGGTCCCTGTTGGGAGGTTCTATGGAGCCTTAGAACGGTTTAGTTATGTGATGTTGAACTTAGAGCCCCCCCCCCCTCCCGCAGTTGCGGACGCAGGGATTCTTTGAGGCGTCAATCCAGATGGGTTCAAGCGCTTCATTAAGGCTACTTCAGGGTAATGAAGCTGACTTAAGGGGGAGCCTCGGACATGCGATGAGAGTCGAGTCTGTGTCGACTGGTTCGACTCCATTCGACCCCCACTTTCCTACTTCCCACATCTACCCGAAGATGTATGTGTTCAGACATCGGTGTGCTACCAAGACGCGACTGGAGCGGCTTATGTCTCACCCGGCTACGGCTATTGGTAGCACACTGCAATCAAGCTCAGGGGCAACTCTGATTAGATTATGTTGCGGGTGCAAATTGTGTGAACTCACAGACACTTCTGGCAAACATCAATGTGAACGTCAGCAGACTCTGCCAACGCACCGACGTTAAATCTGGCAAGAACTTGCACAAGAAACCACATCCAACCTAAATGCAGGATTTGTAGGGCTCTAGCCTGCAGTTGTAATTCTTGTCCAAGCTGCATGCAGATTCAAACCTTCTTCTTTCCACCCGGAGCTCTCAACCCCTAAACCCTCCTTTTCTTGCATCCCACACCCAATACCCTTAAACCAGCCTTACCTAGTTGCCTTGCTTCGACGACAGTGTGGCAGATCATGCCAAGGCACAAGGGCCGATCCTTGTCACCTGCACACTTCTTGGGAGTTCCCGAAATCGGTGGGTTCGGGGACTCTAGGGGTTTCAGCGTTTTGGGGGCTCTCTAACCTCAACTCATCTCTCCAAAGCCCTGGCCACTCCCAAAAGTTGTCACCAAACTTCCAACCGACCACCCACCCTTTTTACCCAAAACCCAAAACCTTAAACCCTTTTTGGAACTGAACTCCTTGCTGCCAGGATGCCGAAACTCTTCTTAGAAGAGTGGAAGAGCACAAAAAAGCAAGCACGTACACAGTACCCTAAACCCTAAACACCCGCACACGGAGTCTTTTGTGCCTGCAGCTTTGTTGATCTCCCCGACAAGCAGGTCGACGTACGTGGACCAAGGCTCGCGGCCCTCGCCAGTCATCCTTGGACATCTTCGAATAAGTGGCGATGATTTTCGCTGCACCTAGAGCCCTAATGACCCAGTTCCGCTTGCTGAGGCATGGTCTCGTAAGCATCGGGAAAATGGAAGATGGTCGCGTCCTTGCGGGGATCAAAGTAGAGTGGGTTGAACAATGCTGGACCAGGCCTTGCAGCACGGGTAAATCGGCACCCCAGCCCCCTTTCCAACATGTTCACGTGCTTTGACTCCTTTAGCTCCTGGGCCCTCATTGCGACCCAAGGCTCTCAAGCTCTTAAAGAATCAGCGCCCAACATGTTACCACCAGCCCCTGCCTGCACCCCTGCGTCGCGCACCGCTTGGATCAAAGGCTCGAGCCTCTGTGGCCACCGCTTGGGGCTTGGGGCTGGGTAACATTGCATGGGTCCTGCTGCTTGGGCAGGGGATAGACAACGAAGGATTGATCCGCGCTGGGCGCGGGGCCACAGAACCCAGACGAACAACCAGCTTGGCAGAAAGGCAAGGTCATGAAGCTGAGATCAGCTCAAACAATCTGCTTATGCACTGTGCATGCCACCAAAGCGACAGCTCAAAGCATGTTGCTGATTCAATTCTGCTAGGACAGCGAACACTCCAATTCAATCCAAAAAGCAGCTTCTCGCCATCTTTCATCGAGAATCCGCCGGAGTACCATGCCTACAGTTCTTCTTTTGTAGGGTTCTGAAGGGTGGGGGAATGATTCAAGGGGGGTATGTAACCCAAGGTTCCCCAATATTCCCCACTACCTCCTAAGGCTCCCTAAGCTTTCCCTAAGGTACCGACCCCCCATGAACCCCCACCCACCCTCATGCACCCTTAAGAACCTGTAATTCTTGCTTCTGTGGGAGCCTCACCTGCAGCGGAAATCCGCAACCACTTTTCGCCCCCCCCTGGAGCCCCGGCATGTGTTTATGTGCTTGGTGTTTCTTGGGGCTTCAGGAAACTGAGGAATCTTGGGCTTCTTGGACATAAGGCTTGAGGTCTTGTGCCCTTGGCTCCGTTTCTACCCCGACGTGAACACCTTTAGAAGCCTTATTCCTTTACCCCGAGTTTCAGGGTTGTGGGCGGGCAAACGTGGGCACTCAGCATGACCTAACTCCCTAAAGCGTTCTGAACCTGAGCCGCCGGCACAAAACAATGGCTGCTTTCCTGCGCAGCAGAGCCAAGTGACAAGCATCTACACTGACATGTGGCTTCAGGCGAGGTGCTTCTGCTGAAAGACACCTGTTTTGGTTGCACATAAATATACTATTGCCAAAGTCCTACCGACACGACAGAAACGCCATAACGAACCCTGGATCCCGTCAGTGAAACGCTGAAGGCCCTCGGATTTGAGAGGGGCACCTTTCCGGGGCACTGCCACTGGTATTCGGCCCACCCGTGGCACCTGAGCCGGCAACAGTGAATGACTCTGACTGCAAGTGGCAGGAGGGAAGATTCCTAGAACCTGGAAGCTGCTTCAAAGCTTCTGAACCCTAAGCCCCTTTGAAGCCGCACCCCAAACCCTAAAACCTAAACCATGGACCCTCCTTCGCCGGCCTCGCGCCACGGCTTGACTTCGGGAGCAGCTGCATCCCGAACTTGGAGGAATCGCCGGAGCCTCGAGATAAAAGTTGACAAGCAGCTTGGGGAACTAGAGATGGGGTTTGAGGGGCTTCAGTACCCTTGCACACTCGAAAGGCGCGTTCGAATTAATTACCCCAGACCAGCTGGGGGTTGGCCTGAAGCCTAAAGTTCACCCCCTAGGTAGTTCTTCGCCCAAGGGTTTAGCAGATTGGGGAATCTTGGCGCAGGTTGCTCCATGCTGCACTGCCTGTCGATGACGGTGACTTGAGCATTTGGCTCGCAAAGGACGAAACCCAATGCAAACTTCTGGGTGTCCGGCAGGTCCTTTCCATAAAGCCGGACACTGACCTCGCAAGGGGCATTATTTCCCCAAACATCGGGGTTGCCAAAGAGCAACCAATCCCACCGTCCACAGCCTTATAAGCCGATTGATATCATCCCGGCGTTCACAGGACTCGTTTCAAACCCTCACGGGCCATTGTGGAACCTCCACGTTGTGCGCTCTCACATCAAGGATAGAGTTGCGGTCTGGGTCTATCTCGGGTGCGTTCTTCAAAAGCACGGCAGCATTTAAACAAAAACCTGCAACGCGATTGAAAGAAACAAAAGCCTCTGCGCATCCCCAAACTATGCCGAAATATGATCAACAAGACCGGGCAATGATGCTGCCACGCAGCTCATCAGCACACCAATAGCATGCATTGAAACACGACCCTTGATGCGAAGCTGTTGAACTTCTGCTGCTTTCGGCTTCGCACATCCCAAAAGCTACCAGCCTTGCCAAAGACGTAATTTCATGCTCTCTATAACCCAGAGAAGATTCCTTGGTCACTTGGGTACTACAGCCGACAACTGGGGGTGCGGCCCAACCTGTCTCCGGACCAGAGCCGGTGATCAGCTTGTAGTGAAGCCGCCTCATAACCCACAGTCACACTATCTCCAAGGGTGGGGACTAAATGAACCCTGAATGGGTTTAGGGCCTAGGGCTTAAAGGCTTATATGCCAGAAATTTATAGTAGTATAGGGTATATGACCCCAATTTCAGGGTTCACTTCGTCCCCAAGGAAGGGTGTGACTCTTTTGCCACTTGAGTTTCCCTAGAAGTGTTTAGAGCGCCCAGCTCGGAGTTCGTGGTGTGTCCCACAGTGAGGTTAGCCTCAACATGATGCTCACAGAGATCGGCAATCAGCATGGGCAAAAGGGAGGCGATCTGACTTGATTTATGGGCCCTTTGGGGTATCCTAAATCGAGAATAAAGAGATGCGCCCGACCCGTTTTGGGGGTTCGGACTTTAGAGTATCAAGTGCCATCTTCAGACCGACGACGCAGGACTGTAGGAGATCATATTCAATCATATGTCAACTCAAAACAACCTAAGCAAACCCAAAACCCTTTTGCATCTGCGGTCCTAAACCTGATTGCATCTGGACCCTAACCCACCTATGTGTGCCGGCACACCGACGGCAAGTTATCAGACACCATGGCCGCGTGCCCTAACGATCTGACGAGGGGCCCATTCACCAACTCGATCTCCTCCACAAAGGCCGCATGCGACAGCCTCGAGTCCTTATCGCTTCATTGAGCCGAGGCGTTGGGGAGTTATACGGCGATTGCATTGAGGCCATGAGGTTCAGGGCTTGACCAGGGGGGTTGGGGGATTTTTCTGCCACCAGCCTAGTCCTCCTTGGCCTGGGTGTTGGGCCAAGGCCCTCCAGGCTCTACCAGAGGTTTCTGCGGCACAAGCGTCGAGCTGGCGGCTCTGCAGATGAGCGCCCTCCCGCACGACGATGCCGCCTAAAGATGGGCGGGTGGCGATTGCCTTTGTTCCAGTCTAGGGTTCTCTTTTGAGGCCGTCTTGATCAAAAGCCCTTGCAGTAGACCTCCAAATTGACCCCCACTCATCTGGAACAAGCCTAAACCCACGAAACAAATTATTATCTTCACTCTTATTACTAATGCTTCCATCGCCAGGTTGTCGCTCGCATGAAACTAAACCACAGATCGAATGAATTTGCAAGCGAATTAGTTCCTTGAATGGGCGATGTGATTACTACTCCTGCGGCTCGTTAATGATATTCTTGATGGTTACACCTTCATGAATTACCATTATTAAGGTATTCTTCTACGGCATTTTATTGGATTCTTTGCACGTTCATGTCCTTCGTTTCTTTGTTCTCATTTATTATGTTATTACGAGCCCCCACTATAATAATAGTAAAGGGGCAAGGGGCGCGCGCCCTGATTATAAATGAATATTGGGGTCTCTAGGGTGGTAACAAGAGAGTGAAGGAAAAGATACTAGAAAAAGCGAGTCATCACCAGGCTATTCCCAAAGGCTTGAGTTCCACATCCAAGTTCTCAGGGTCTTGTGTCCCAACCTTACAGACGCTTCCTTGTTCACCCATCACACCTTGAGACCCAACCTCTGTTTCCAAGCCTTTCACTCTCTGAATGAAATAAACATCCGCTCTCCACCGGCTTGCCTCCACATCAGCTCTGTATAGAGCCCTCGTAAGACCCAACGAAGCCTGAAGCCCAATCAACCAGCCCCCTCGCCAACTACATCCGCAAAATAGGTACATGCAATTGGAAACAATACGAGTTCGGGGGTGAGGAGGTTTCTCGTGCCCAAAAGCGAAAGCAAGGGGGGTTCGGATTTGCAAGACTACCCCCATGTGCTGGCCAGGAGCCGACACCCGCGCCAGCCGTGACTTCCCAGATTTGGGGCATGTGCGCTCGTCGAGATGTCAAGTGGGCGGTTGAATCAGTTTCAGGCTTCAGGGTTGGTGCTTTGGCTGGCTACTTCTTGCCTGTGCTGGCGGGGGAGAAGTCGAAAGTCTGTAGACTCTAGACTATAGGCTTGTGACATGACACGGCCGATTTCTTGATATGTTTGGGCTCAGGGGGCTCCAGATTCTCGGACTTGGGGGCTCCGGTTGATGAGGGCTTGCATCTCCGGCCCCTGCCGTAGCCAAAAGTTCGGCGAGCACAGGGTGCAGGTCCAACAAGGCTGCAGCTTGAAGCTCATCGAGTTTGGGGTTTTAGGGTTTAGGGTTCAGGGTTTTCTCCTTTTCTCAAGATATGCACCAGACCAGCATGGCGTCTGCCACCTCAGCCTCCGAATTCCCAAGCCCTGTAGCGAACCCTGCTAGTGGCTAGTTACGGTGTGGGGTTTACAATTAAGCTTAGGGCTTAGGTTGATAACAGGGCTTGACAGATTTATACCAAAGCTTAAAGGGTGTTCGTCTCCCCCCCCCGCCGCTGGCAGCGTTTTGTTCCTCGCTGCGGTGGGCCTCCCTTGGGCGAGGGAGGTGGCGGCCAAGCCTCCAGTGTGCTGGCATGGGGGCTAGCTTGGGAGTTTCGACCTTCTCACTGGCACATGGGCCGTCTGCTAGCATCTACAACGCTCGACATTTGGCTTGGGCTTGTAGGGCTCATTAGGGGTGACCTCTGCTTGTCGGGCTCCCAGCATCTTCTAGCGTTTGTGGCCAAGGGACTCGTAGAGGCAAATGGCAGTGGCATGGCCCACCTGCACCGGAAAAGCAGAGGGAGCCCAGGAGCCCTGCGCATGTTTCATTCCAGTCTCACGGCCTCATGCTCTCAAACCCTGATAACATGGAAAAGCAGCCATGCGTGCTTCAATGCTGGGGGATGTGACCCTTTGAAGTTGAGTGTCATGGCACCTCGAGTCTGTCTATCAAGCCGCCCAAGCTACTGCAACTGGCATCATCCAGACGAACAACTAAAGCGGGGGCAAAGAGACAACAGACCAGACAAGCCACACACGAAACTGAGCTTGATTGCATTTTTTGTTGCT